ATATATTCATATTTTTTATTATATATTTATAATCAGCATATATCTCCTTTAATAGTCTCATATAGAGCGCTGTGCTAAACGCACCTTTGGACACCCTATATTTCAACATCGGCTCTGGAACAACGATATCTCGCTACTGCCATCAAGAATGAGTTCAATAATGCTTCAAATGTTAATGTTATCTTTAACAAGAAGTTTGTGAAAGAATCTAAGTTTGGTCAGTATGTCAGACCATTAGCTATCGTCATTGACCGCAAACGTTATACTTCACAAGAGTTAGCAGTAGTTTTGAAACAAAAGAGTTTCTTCGTGAATGTCAAAGATACTCATTATATTGTTATAAAGAACTCTAATATTGACTTCTTCAGTATTGCTTTAAATCTTTCTGAACAGAAAGAATATAAGAAGGGTGAAACATCTGTGAAATATTATCCTTCATCTCTGAAGACAATAACGAACAAAGATGTTATACAGAAATTCTTACCAAAGGTTGAAGAAGCTTCTATTGACATTGACGAAGGAAGTGAAATGGTTGAAGAAATAGACCCTGAAGCTATTTAAGCAAAAATATATTTTTGGTTAGTCTTCATATCGATATTTTACAACAATTCCCCAATGTATAAACTTTTCATACGCTTTTTCATAAGCTTTATATACCTTCAGAAATTTTGCATAATCTTTAGAAGCATTTAGATATTGTTTAAATGCTTTGTATGTCTTCAGAAATTTTGCATAATCTTTTACATGTTGTTCGTTCTCTTCTTCTGTCATGAGTTCCGAATATTCTAAATTCATGTTCTTTCATATGAGATAAAATTTTATAAAAAAATAAAATTAGCTTAGATTTTTTTATTCTTCCTCTTTGAAGTTATCGAAATATTCTGTTATTTTTTCCTTCAGTAATGTTAAGTCTTCTTTGAATGTAAGTATTGTGCAACCTTTGATGTCATAGTGTGTTTGAGGAAGAGTATTTTTGACAATTTCCTTTATTTGCTCATTCGGTGTCATTGAAATCGGTAAGTTTTCACGATAGAACCAGTTTCTGTCAGATTTATATATTTTAGCTAAGTCATAAAAGCTCTTGTTGTTTCTTCTGACTAAATGCAACATAACCATATCTTTATCTTCTTCTTTCTCCAACTCTTTAGTATATATCATATACTTATAACTCTTTTCCTTTCCTTTTGGTACTGAACGTGGTATTCTTTTCTGAATGCTTTTGTCTTTTGCTTCAATGACTTCATCTTTTGCTTGAAGTTTCTTTTCCATCTCTCCACGTTCTGCTTTATATAGTTCATCTAACATCATGAAAATATAACAAGCATAACGAGGTGAAGCCCACATTGCTACAGCGTTTACTAAAAGTCTATGAACATAATATCCTTTCAAACCAGGAGCCAAATTCTTGCGATTTTCGTACGGAATCTCTTCTCTCGGTTTTCCGAGGGAAGCAATCATATGAGGAAATTCTTCTAAAAGTTCTTTTGTTGTTGGTTTTCAAAACCAATGATATGCTTGCTTTGTAGAACGAAGAGCATTCATTATACTTTGCATTTGGTACATGTCATCTTTGACTGAACGAATGAGACGTAACTGTTTGTTATATTGTATGTACTCGTATTCTTCATTTATAGCTTCATGGACTATAACTGTTGTTGTGTTCTCTAATGTTGTCATTACTGTCTTTACATACAAAATAAAAAAAATAAATAAAAATAAAACTAACTTTATTTTCTGACTTTCACAAAAGACCAAAAATAAACGCTTTACATGTATTTTTCAGCAACTTCGTCAAATAATTTTATAGCTTTATCTATCTCATCTACTTCAAACGTTTCTTTACCTTTCGTGGGAGCACCATACATTTTCTCAAAAACTTCAAGCAGTTCTGTTTCAGCAGCTCTCATATCATTAACAAACACAACCTTGACTCTATTGACTGTACTGTCATATCTTTGAGTTATATTATATGTCCTTCCTATCTTATATCTTTTTGTGTTGAAGTCCTTCGGTTTCTGAACGATGTAAAGTAAGCCTTCACTGCAACGTTCCGTATCGAATGAACCATATGTTATGAAGTTATATCCAACAACTGGGTCTAACCATAACAAAACTATTGGTATAAGACTTTTGTCTATAAGATATGCTCTTGTTCCATGAAATGCTACTGATATCATAAGCTCAGGATTTCTTGTCAAAATTTTCTGAGTTGAAGCATTTCTAACCCAGTCGTTTGTTTTCTTTCCAGATGGAGATATAATGTCTGACAAAGAATATTTATTGTATTTCTTTGAGTATCTTACGTTTAAATCACCTATTCTAACCACTTTGGTGTCATTGTCTATCTTTCTAACTGTTTCAAACTCAATGTTTGACATTACTGTCTTTACATACAAAATAACTAATGAAATTCATTTATTTTTGTGCTGAATTCAATAAAAATAATGTTGAGGTGAAGAGGTGAGATCTCACCCGTTTTTTCACCTGTTTTTTCACCTAATTTTTCACAAGCGTTTTACATGAATTGTACGATGTATATTTGAAATCCTAAACAATTTCGTAGCTTCTATTTCTTCTTTTAGTACATCAAAAGTTTTAACAATGCCGAAAGTTTCTTTATACTTCTTCTTGACGTCAGACAGAAGGAAATCTTCTGCTGTTGGATAGTTTTTATTAAGAAATGTCAACATATCCATTTTATCTTCTGCTGGCTTTTCTGCTTCTTTCTTTAAGTCTACATAGTCGTTTCGCATTCTTTCTATCTCTTTGACTGAGTAGTTATATTTTCTTATTGCTGCTTTACATTTTGAACATTGCGGCATCGTTTTTGCGTTATACATTGAAACATTACCAGCTAAAATAACTAAAGCGTCAATTGCTCTCTTCATCTCAAACATAGCGGGTCTTATTTGTTCAGTCCATACTTTACCTCTTCTATCTTTATCTCTTATCTGCCATACACATTTTGCAACTAATGAAACAAAGTTATTGTATGTCTTAAATTCTTCGGATTTGTAAAGGTCAGAAATATTTTTATAAACCATGTCGCAATCTTTGTCCATAACTTTATGGTTGCAATGAAAACCAAGGAATTCATAATTTACTTTACGTATGAATTTCTTAATTTCTACTGAGTCAGTTGCTTTGACTTCAATTTCGTCGAATTCAGGAATAGTTAGTTTTTGCTGCTGAATTTCAGGTAGTTTAGGCAAATGGTCGATGAGGTCCTCCATTTCATAAAGATACTGTTCATTTGTTTCATCTTTCGCACTACAGTCTAAATTACTTGTTAAAAGTTCTTGCTTTATCTTCTGGATTTCTGTTTCGAAAGTAAATGAAGAAGGAATGAAGCTTTTCATTTCTACTAACATTGACGTAGGATTCATGACTAACGAGTTTGGTGCTGTAGTTGTGGACAGAGTCCCGCCGTTCGTGGCTTGAATTGTTGTTGTGCCGATTGTTGAAATCATATCTTTTATACAAAATAAAAAAATAAATAAAAATAAAACTAACTTTATTTTTTCTATCTTAAGGAAATTCATGAAAATTCATGTAAAACGCTTGTGAAAAATTAGGTGAAAAAACGGGTGAGATCTCACCTCTTCACCTAAAATATATTTTTGGTGTAAATTTATGACAAAAATAAATGGTACCATTAATGATATCATGACTGTTCTCATTCATGTCTGATTTACATCTAATGAAAAAGTTTAGAAGAATTTTCTTATTCTTTCTGGCTTATTTTTGTCTTTTCCAGTACTCCCGCTCTAATGGTCCCAGATGTGTTGACTTTGACTCTCTCAAGTTCTTAGATGGTATAACATCTTCAACGCCTCCTTCATATCTTACTTTATAAGTGTCATCGTTTATGTTGTAGCCAAGTATTTCAATAACCACTCTTCGCTTTGCTTCGTCAATGGTTTCAGCAAGTTTGCCATTACTACTTTCAACTAATTTGTGACGAGGGTAAAACGCAATAGAGTCGTCAGCAGCTTTTATAATATCCATTACCTTGCGTAGAGTCTACGATATAATAGTTTCTACTTAACCTTAAACGTTTCTTTGTCAACGGTTTGTCGTCAAGAACTACACGAACTTTTGTACCAGGAATGAGGGTAAATTGTGTTGAATTTCTGATATTTTGTGTTTGGCTTCGTTTCTTTCTTTTGTATATACTTTTCTTCTTGTTGTTGTGTCATTGAATTTGGTGTATGTCCTGTTGTAGAATGTGTTGAGGAATTATATACTTCGAGAAAATGTTTCATTGTTTCTTCGGTAAAGTCTCGCTCTTGGTTTAAATCTCTGAGCGTTCTTATGAAGCGGTTTATGATGCCGAGTATGTTATGGTTATGGTCTTCAGTAGTGTAGTGAGTTATGTTATGCTTAATGAGAAAATCTGTGATTTCATTGCTGAGGTATGCACTGTCTTGGTCTGATGTTAAAGTACTTGGGCTATGTTCTGCTACAAACTTTTGTAAAACTCTTAACACTTCACGAGTTCCTTTATTCCTCATTGGATATGCATATGCTTTGCGAGTGTTAACATTAATGAAGATGAGGAATGGGTTATGTCCTCCTTTTCTGCTTTGAATGAGAGTGTCAAATTGGTATGCGTCAGGAGTGTTGGAGTAAATTGGTAAAAAGTAGTCGTAAGGGTTTATTTTTGTTTGATGTACAACATTTTTGTCAAAGAACCTTTTCACTTCAGCTCTGTTAGTAAATCCCCAACTCTTTGCAGCTTCATTGAACTTCTTAAATGACCTCCATGGATGTTGTTCGAATACTTCTTTCAAGCTCATTTATGTAAAGTTAAAGATTTTATTCAAGGCTCAAGCGCGTTCATTGAACGCGGTACCATGCGAATATAGTCACAAATGGTGGCATATAATCTGCACCCGAGCCTGTTGGATTTGTTGTGAAAGTGTGTGAATGATTTCCTGTGGTTCCACAGAAAATACCTGCGCTTGAATCTACTGGGTCACTTGAAATATCATATCTATTCATTCCTGTCTATCCGAACCTGCTGCAAGATTTGTATAACCTCTTTTTGTTATTGAATGTGAATGACTACCTGTTGTGTTTGTAGTTCCTGTATGAGTGTGCGGTGGAAGGTTTGCTTCTTTAATTTTCTTCGAACCTCCTGTTTGCTTTGAAGAGTTAGCACAGTATAAGAATTTATCTACAATCTGCTTCCACATACCAAAACCCAAAACTGTTTCTGGATTTGTTGAGTTCATTGACGTATAAATAGAGCCTATAGGATATAATGTTTGAAGTATTTCAGTCTTTAATGTTTGAAGCTCTGTTTTGTCAGCTTTCTTATCTAACATTGTTGGTAGTTCATATGCTTCAAAGTTTCTGGCATGATCTTCGATATTCCTGCAACTGTTATCTAAATTGTTAAGAGTATCTTTTACGCTTGTACTCGGATTCTCTAAAGGTGCACTTGAACCCAAATCATAGTTCAATATTATGTCGTCTGCTCTAACAGTAGTGAAGGATTTATGTGTATGTTCTTTGTCAGCTTTCTTATCTAACATTGCTGGTAGTTCATGTGTTTCAAAGTTTCTGACATGACCTTCGATATTCATACATTTGTTATTTAAGGAGTTTAGTGTATCTTTTACGCTTGTACTTGGATTCTTTAAAGGTGCACTTGAACCAAGGGTATAGTTCAATATTATGTCGTCTGCTCTAACAGTAGTGAAGGATTTATGTGTATGGTTCTTGTCAGCTTTACTATTTAATGTAGCTTGAAGTTCATTTATATCGGAGATGTTGTGTTTATGAGATTTCAAAACTTTGTTCATTGCTTCAAGTTCAACTTTGTCAGCTTTACTTTTAATAGCATCTTCAAACGTTATTTTTGCCTTAACTCTCAAAGTAAATCTTGGTTCAACTAATACACCGTTAACAAAGAAGTATGAAGCATAAATTTCATCGTTATAACCAAATGCTTCTGGTGCTTTACCTGTGTCATACTGTACAGTACAGTGTATGTCATAACCTTTAGCACGAATGAATTTATATCTTCTTTCATTAACATCTTCAGTGCTTATTTGTTCATCCTGTGTTAAATATCCATGGTAGTCCGTTATAATCTGTTCGTCTGAAGTTATATAATGAACATGGTTTTTATCTGCTTTTTCGGCTAATTTCTCTTCTATCTCATTTATTTCAAGTTCATGCCTACCACCACCTCCCGAAGAAGTATTTTTCTTCAGCTCTTGAAGAACGTCCACTTCGCCATCTTTGGTGTCAATAATGAGACTTTGAGTTAAAACCTTTCCTGTCTTAATGGATGTTTGTAAAACTTCTTCTTCACCGTGTTCGGGGTCATGGTCGTCATCATATCTTGTGAAATCAGAGATGTTGTCATACATTAAGCATATCTGTCTCAAAAGTTCTGCTATTTGAAACTGGAACGAAAGATATACAGAACTTTCATCATCTCCTAAAGTCAAGTCTGCTTTCTTAAGTATTTCTTGAATGTATGCAATGAGAACAGAGTACCTTGGAAAATATTCGAACAATATTTCATTAGCTGTTGGTTTTGGTGGTTCTTCTGGAGTTTCTGTTGTTTCAGTTCCTTCTGTAGGTTCTGTTGGAGTTTCTGCATCTCTTGACTTCAATGCTCTTGCTCTCAAAGACCTAAATGTTAGAGCACCAGGTTTTACAAAGGACTTTATAAATGCTTTAATAGTTCCTGGTAAGTTATTGTTAGCATTAAGTAAGTTCCTTATGCTTCCATCATGGACGTCCATAGCACTATGTAAAAAATCTATACTTTTCTTGTAGTCAGCAATAGACTGACTGTGATTTTTTAAAGATTTGTCAATACCTTTAAGCCAATCTTCATGCATGTCTGATACTGAGCCAAGAATATCATTTGCTTCCTTTAGTGTATTTTGTGCTTCTCGTAAAGTATCCAATCCCGTACGTGCATTGTTTGCTATACGTCTTACAGTATCTATTTGACTCCTTGTTTCTTGCATCCAACCAGATAAAGTTTTAATAGTATCCGAACCATTTGAAATGAAGTTCAAAGCATTTTTAACGTCATTTAAAACTTCTTCACCAAGTACCGCCCATATCTTTCCGATTTGGTATGAAGAACTCCATATGAAGCAGCTGTTAAACCAGTATTTATAAGGTTCCATATCCATGATTTAGCAGTTTTTCCATCCTTTCCATCTTCACCATCCAAACCGTTTTCGCCTTGAGGTCCTTGTATTCCTTGTGGTCCTTGAGGTCCGGTGTCACCCTTCTCTCCTTTCAGTTCATCTTTATGTTCGTTATAATATTCTAATGTCATAAGGTGTACATCATTACTGCTACCAGCAACGCCGAGAATTTGTTTCTCATTCATGACTAAATTCTTTAGGCATTTAATGTTGTCGTCAAATCGAAAGCTCTTTAACAATTCAATGAGAACATTCAGTACTTTCACTAATGAGGCATCTACTGTAGAATTTATATATTGCACCGTTCCATCATTTATGATGGGAACTTTACTTATTGTAATGAATGGGTCATACGTGTTAAAAGTATCGAAATCAATGACTTTTTTAGTTTTTCCATCGTCAATGACTAAATCATTGCTTCAATGGTTAAAGTTGAGTTTTCGTTTACTAGTTCATGTGCTCTTCTTGCTTCATTTGTTTCATACGCATATGCAGCAATAGTCATATATTTTAATGAGAATAAAATGTTGTTCTATTTGCCAAAGTACAGAAACGAATGACGGGACAGTAAAGCTACAAACAAACTTAGGTCTACAGAATGAAGCGCTTGCTTTCAGAGTTGTTGACTTCAATACTATCGCAACTTTTGTCATAACAGATGAAACAGATTTCATGGAGATTGAAATAGATGGAAAGAAGCACGAAATAAGATTTCACAATAATGTAGAATATAAGATGGAAACATTAGCTGGAGTGTTAAATGCTCTCATAAATACTACAATAAACAAGGATAACGAAGAAAACTTAATGAATGTTAAACTTATTGCAGGAGTTTTGAAGTTCAGTTATGCGAAGGAGTTTAAGATACCAAGAATGAGTCATAGAGTACAACTTCTTTTGGGTGCATACCATATGACATTTCCTTTGAAAAGTGTTGACAAAACGATTGAGATGAAATCTTTCCATACGTATGTTATGGTAATTGTTTATACATTGAGTCTAAAATAGCTAATGTCACAGGCATTTCAGGAGTTAATAGTAAAAGGTTCAGTAGAATATAAGTCTTTCTGTTATGCAGTCAATTCAATGTTCATTCCAAACGTTCCTGTCATAGCAACTCATTTAGGTAAATGGGTTCGCATTAGTCCTCATAATTTGAAAGACATGCAATTCAGACTTGTTGACTTTCAAGGAGAGCCTGTAGAACTGAAGGCACCAGCGCGAATGACTGTTGAAGTTGACTTTTTAGAAAATATTAAATGCAACGGCTTACAAGAGAACTCAGAGCTAAAAATATAAAGTATGAATGTTATGTATTAGGTCATGAACTTTGGTTGTTGCTGTTTGATGAAACAAATGAATTAGTTATGTCAGTCAAGAGAACAGAAAAATATTGTGTTAGTGAAAACTGCACCAAGTCAATAAGATTAGGTTTGCATTATGAAGATGAGTTCGATACTGTTGAAGACGTTTTGGATAGATATTACAAATTGCTAACTTGAAATTTTTTTGACTGACGGCGCAAAGCGCCAAGATGGGCTCAAAGAGCCCTCCTGACTGCTTTAATTTACTAAAACATATTTCAAACAAAGTTTATATTTCTGTTGAAAGTTTTGTATATTCATTCGAATATTTATACTTAAACTCAACTCCTGTAGTTCCTGGTGTTTCAATGATGCGGATGTTACCTATTTTCATGAATAGTGGAGTTTGACCACAGCATTCGATTTCAGGGTCGAGATAGTCAATGACACATTGTTTCCCTGTTATTCGTGAGATAACATTTTCAAGGTCCTCCTTTGTTAGAATTATTTGGTTCTTGCTTATAAGATTTGTCAAAAGCTTCTTATCGTCTTTGAGTAAGATAGTTTGGTATAACTGAAGAAGGTAATGGTCTACGTTATCTGAAGGATTTGTTTGAACATTTGTGTAAGGATTGTCGTTGGCTTCTCTTGAAAGAATTTGGTCCAGTGGTGGATACTCTAACTTAACATCTGATGTAGCGTTAGCGTTTGCACTTGAAGCTGAGTTTAAATTCACGGCGCCATGCTCCAAGACCGAAGGTCCCGACTTAAGTTCTGGTTCTTTTTCTTTCAAACACTCTGAACTATAGTTCTTTATGACAATATTGTTTGTCGTTCGTGAGTCAACATTTGATGTTGGTTCAATTGGAACATTAACGGCACCAGCTAAGATGGATTTGCTTCTCATTTCATATAGAATAAAAACCTTTTATATGTATGAAATGAACAATATACTCGACAAGGGTTTGAATGTAAAGCTAACGAATGAAAATATTGTTGAATTCACTGAGACAGGAGCTGTGTATAAAGATGTAGAACTACTGAACAAAAGAGCTAAGGGAAGAAGCAGGAACATGAACAAAGGGTGGAAGCCTATAAAAATTTATGTCAATGATGGCTCAGGAGGTTCAAACATAAAGTATGCAGAAAGTTATAGAGTTTATGCTCTCAAAGGTGAAAAGCCTTCATTTAAGAACAGCTATTCTAACGCATATCCTCAAAAGCTAACGGATGGGGAAGTGGATGATATGAATGACAGCAAAAATATTAACAGAAATGGCGACAGAGATGCATGGAATTTGTTTACCATCAGTCAATTGAAGGTTAAACTTTAAAACAATGTTGGTCGTTCCCATGGAATATTTTTGACTTTAATGGTATTAGTCATGATATGAATCTCAAGGTATGAACGAGGAGAGATGAGAGACTTATATGCTTCCCAAATTTCTTCAAAAGGTAATGTTATACCTGACTGTTTCCAAATGAGTTCAATATCATAGCGTGAGAAACCTTGAAAGATAACGAAGTCAGTTATGAGACGTTTTATGTTTAAAGCTAAAAACCTCCATGTTTGCATAAGTATTGCTACAGTTAAATGGTAATGTCTGACTTTAGTAATGATGTTAGCTAATAGTGAGTCAGGCTTTGAAACTAAACCTTTACCAGCGAAGTCGTCGCAAACTAATAAAGTGTTTGATGGATATTTTTTGAAGGGGTATTTTGAAAGTTTTGACAGAATGTAGTTTGTAAGTCGTTTCATATCGTAAACTCCTGAGTATTGACGTAAGTGGTGTTTGTCAATAATTCTTTCCATCTCCTCAGAAGTCTTTTGCATTCCTGACTGTATGAACTCTACGATGGCATAATATTTCCTCTTACGTCGAATGTAACGTTGAAGAAATTCAATGAGTTCACTGTCTGGAACTTTAACGACAGAGGCTTGAACTTTTGACATAATGTTTTCGCTGTTGAGTCCATAGAGTCTGAAGTTGCTGATATAATGATTTGGTCATAGTAAGAGTCGTTTCCTAAACGTTCTGTTATGAGTATATGACGAATGAGGTTAAATGTCTTACCTGAACCCATCTTTCCACAATAGAAATAACACCATTTGAACAGAACTCATAGTCCTTACTGAAAGGAAGAATAAGAGAAGAGTTAAGTTTGTCTGTAGTTTCATTCATGTCTTCATCTACGTCATGTATTAAATGCTTCATTTTATCTCCATTAAAAATGCAAGTCAGAAATATTCAGAACATAACACCCGAGTCTAACTGACAAGAGTATAAAGATATACTATGAACACGTTATGATGAAACCTACCAAAATTCAAGAAAGTCAGTATACTTATGAATATCCAAGACACTGGGTAGAGTATGTAGGAGGTGAGAAAGCTATTGAAATCAGACAGGTTCGAAGTATTCCAGCAGGAAGAACAATATTATTGAAGAACTTTAATGTTTTGAGGTATAATGATGAAACAAAGAAGCAAGATAGTTTCCCTGTTGCTGTGTATGTGAACTTAGATACAGGAGATGACATGAAAGTTTTTAATACAAAGCTTCAAACGGTAGTGAGAGAACAACTGACTGCGGAAGGACATCCATTACCTTCAGAAGTTACCATAGCATATAATTTTGAAAAAAACTCAATAGATTTTAAAGTCGTCTCTGCAAAGAAGTCAGGTTTTACATTTAATGAAGCAGATGTATATTCGAATGAAAACTTCAAAGCTATTGCGTGGTTAGATAATGACGATTGCTTTAAGAAAATATTTAAATACAGTGACTCAACGATGTCAATAGATGACCTTCGTGGAATGTTACCATCGACGTTTACAGTTGAAGGTTCAGCAGGATTGCTTACAAGATTGTCAATTGGTGGCATTTGGTCTCGTGAGAACATTGTTATAAATCCAGTATAAGTGAATTTGCTGAAGAATCTATATTATGTCTTTCAAACTACATGTATTCGCCGCCGAAGCATTATAGTATAACAAACTTTGTCAGTAAGTTTAACATAAGACTTGTCGAACCTTCTTCAATGAAAGATGTTGTGCTACCCAAAGACGGAAAGGATGGACTCATTATTGAGATGATTTTAATTGCATATTAAATGAGCTTGTTCTTGAAGGTCATTCATGATGAAATAACTGTTGTAGAAGATGTTAGCAATTGTTCAGACATTTTGAAGCGTATAGATGATATAAGAAAGAAGTTTATGAATGAGAACGTTTATGTTTCATTGACTTTCTCCAGTAATGAGAACTTTTATGAGATAATGTTGAAGAGAGATGATTTTAATATGGTGTAAATGGTAGCTTGGGCAGCTTTAGGCGCAATGGGAACAAAAGCATTAGCATTTGGAGCAAAAGCACTTGGAGCTTATGACGCAGTAAATAAAATGAGTGGAGGAAGGGTTTCGAAGACATTAGATGCAAATAAAGGGAAGATTGGAGGCTGGGTTGCAAAGAAGTTAAGATTAAATAAAATAGGGCTCATAAATAAAGCATCCAATTTGGTTGCGACTGAGTCAGAAAATGCTTTAGGAAAGGACGATGAGTTTGCAAAACACGCAAAAGACTTTAATGACCAGATGAAAGGTGAAACAATGCATTTAAATAGATTCGATGGAACTAAAGAAAATGTTTCTTCTCCACCAGTAGTTCTTCCGTATGGTCCTATGGAATGTATGGAAACCCTTACGAAAGACCATTTGACCCATTGACTGGTGGAAGTAACTGGTATCATTACGGCCGAAGAAGAAAGACAATCAAGTTGGAGACAGACGTGAAGAAAGCAACTAAAAAGAAACCAAGGAAGAGAGTTATAAAGCAATGAATTCAACAGGGTGAAAAACCGGGTGAAAAAAAGAGGTGAGATTTCACCACTTCACCTAAATTTATTTTTGTGCTATGTTTTCATACGTGTGAGGGTGGTGATATCATTAATTTTTAAGTTTATTTTTTATTTTACTGAAAATTTTTATTTGGATGTAAATGACAGAACAAAAGCAACTCATTCGAATTCCACAGTATAAAACATACATTTAAACATTTATTCTTCCTTCCTGAGCATAACATGTTCTTTCAAATACATCCGAGACCAGTTGACTTTTCATTGACTGTTTATAAAGATAGAAATAGTTATATCATTAAACCATACGATGACGAAGGTAAGTTATGTAAATTGTACGTTAAGAAGTTAGAGAAAGTTTATGGCTTCAAGTATGACTACAATAGGGTTAACACTGATGATGAAGATATTGAGGAAAATTTATGAGAACATTAGTGAAGTCGTTAGTGAGAACGATAGTGAGAACGTTTATTTTTTACATTAGTGAGTTCGTTAGTGAAGTGGTTAGCGGCTTTGTAAATATTTAAGGTTAAGTTAGTGTTGTCGTTTGTGTTGTAAAATATACGTTAGCGGTTTCGTAAAGTGTCAAATTCACATATAATGAGTAAGTAGGTGCGCAGTGCCTCCGTACCCATGACTTGTATACTAACTAGTATAACTTATGAAGAAATAAGTTATGAACAATATCTGGGTGAGCTTTATTCGATTCAGTATCTATTTCTTCATAAGTTTTTTTTTTCATTGATTCTTTGTTGTTTGATCTATATTTGTTCTTCACTGAAGTCTTATCCCTTTTTATCGAAAAAGGGGTGTTGTAGTAGCACTTTTTCTTACATAAACCAGAAAATGTCATGTAAAATATAACTTTACATTGTCGTCAAGAGGTTTACATCGTCATAAAATCGGCACTACAAGGCCAAAAATCCACTACAAGGCTCATGAAAGGACTTTAATGCGTTAATTCTAAATGTTATAAATTTTTATCTTTGAAAATTTTCCTAGACTGTTCTATCCGACGCTTCCATTAAAAGCAGATGATTACAAATTGAATAGATGTGAGGAATAAGAAAAGCACTTTACATTCCTGAAAAGAAACGAACGATTTCATTTTATATCTTAGCATATGAAAAATTGTTGTAAACAGAAATTCATCAAAAGTGACACCTCAGAAAAGCTAAAATATTGAATTTTTGGAACTTTTGATAGAGCACGTTTTTAAATATTAATTAAAGTAAATGTATATTTTGTAATGTTGCATGCTAAGATCAGTCATAATGTAAACCTCTCAATTTTATTGTCGTGGGAAGTATCTCAATTCCTTCAAAAAAATTGAAAAACTATTTAATTTTAAAAATATAATACTTTTAATTAGTTAATTAATTGGAGATATTTTTTAAAAATCACTTTTGATAATATAGGGTGTCCAAAGGTGCGTTTAGCACAGCGCTCTATATGAGGCTATTAAAGGAGATATATGCTGATTATAAATATATATTAAAAATATGAATATATGTATATGATGAGTATGTTGTATTTTGGCGCCATGCCGGGATATAAAATGAATTTTGAGACAAGAGGCGGTTTCGCGGGAAATTTTGGCGGGATTTTTTTCATTTTTTTAATGAATCATAATGAAAACATCCTCGCTCTTGCAAAAAAATGCAAAGACTGTAAAAAAATCTACGAGACATTGGTAAAATGCTTCGGTATGGATGCTCCTAGCTATTCCACTGTAACGTATCATGTTAGGATGTATCACTTCATGAACAAAAAGACGCCCATCATAAAAATTGACAAAAAATCGCCGGATCAAAGAAAAATCAAAGCAATTCTTCAAGCGCTAGATGAAGACCCAAGAGCATCACTCAGAAGGATAGAGGAGATGACAAAGATACCACGTACAACAGTCAGTTATTATCTGCACAATTATTTGAACTACAAACTAGCGTATACACGTTGGGTTCCGCACAACCTTAATTCAGTTCAAAAAAAATCTAGAGTCCAATCTTCGAAAGAGCTCCTCTCTATATTGCGTGCGTATCAATCCAAGAAGTTTCGCTTTTTAGTAACAGGGGACGAGTCTTGGTTTCAATATGCAACAGAAGCCAAAATCATGTGGATCCCGAAGGATGAAAATCCGCAAACATTCCCGAAGAAAAAAATTGACACACCAATGATGATGTTGTCGGTTTTTTGGGGCGTGAATGGCATCATCGCAATTGATATTCTTCAAAAACCTAATACGATGAATGCTCAGTATCTAATTGACAATGTTCTTACTCAAATTATCAATTCTGATGAGTTTGAGAAATCCAAACAACAAAAACAAAAGTTTGCAATTCATTTTGATAATTCAAGAGTTCACAAAAGTCATAAGGTAATGAATTACTTGGTGGAAAACAATGTCAAAGTTGTTCCAAACCCAATTTATTCACCTGATATTGCACTCTCTGACTTTTATATTCGGCACGCTAAAAAAGAGAGCTGAAGGACGCGAATTCGCGAGTCCAGATGATCTTGAAAATTTTGTAAGAGAGCAATTTGAGCAATTTTCTCATGATGATTTAAAGCGTGTCTTTCAAGCCTGGATCGATCGCTGCGAACGCGTGATTGAATCCAATGGTTATTATATTTAAATAAACTTTATATATATGTAACTTGTTTATTTCTATTCGCAGTATTCAGGTTTGTGCTAAACACACCTTTGGACACCCTATACTTTTGAGAACTTTAATTAAAAAAATATATTCAAAAATATCCAGGATATCAAGAGGGAATTGTTCCTTATGAGGTATATAGTTATGATGTATACCTCATAAGGAACAATTCCCTCCTTAAGGGGATAGTCCACTAAAAATTTTTAAGTTTTGACAATGAAAATAAGCTCTGTGACCATGTAAATATATATCTATGCAAAACGAGAGGTTATGCCATAATTTTTTTTAGTTATTAAATTTTCCTTTTTTTGAGAGAAGTCTCTCAATAATTTGAGAAGAATCTTTGATATAAAGAGATACACATTTGTAGAACGAAGTAAGTGTTTTCCAAACATTTTATATGTTCATCCTGTATAACAATATAAAGCTGCATAGTGCCATCTTGTGCGTTTGCTATTTTATGTACTTTTCATTGAGATAATCCCTCTTCTCGGGTGATTTTAACAGTCAACTCAATTTTAAAATAAAGATTTCATCAAAATGATTTCGAAATTCGGATATTGATTATATAAATAGCACTGTTAACATATTTTGGATGAGTAAAAAATACCTTGTTTTGTATGCATTTAGTACACCTTTATTTTTGATTAAAACTATAAAATTTTTATTCCTTATATAATAAATAGTATATGTTACATAAACATGAAATTCAATAGCATTCAATTTTGGATTTTTTAGATTTGGTAAATTTTAGAAGAAATAAAATCAGCAATCAAAATAAAGAAACTTTTTTTGTATCTTCTATGATTACCTTTTGGTACTAAATTTTGCATTAATAAGTAAATTATCTGTATTATTCTGTGAGCACAAGCCCTCAGTTATGCTGGTAGTGAATGATGAATCGTCATTTTGCGAAGAGAACGCGATTATTAAGGTAATTTTGAGAATTGTCTTGAATTATTTAAAATTAAAGTTAATTGAATAGGTAGGATAACTAGCCTTTGCTAAATTTGTATAATTTGACCTTATTCTAGTTGGATCTGAGAATATTTTGCTGAAATAATAAATTATATCGCCGATTTATGAAAATTTCTCTGATGGGACCGACTCGCTGAAACGTATTAGTGTTAATGGTAACTTGTCTGAATTTTCAAATTTTTTTCGAAATCCAAAAAATCACAAACAAAAGCATCAAAATTAGATTTGCATTTAAGGTTTTCATTTTTTTTTGGAAAATAAAAATATTTTTCCCCAATAAAGTTTATTTTTACTTTTGAGAGGAATAGAAACGTTATTTTGGAATTTTGAAACGACAGAAATGTTCCATTTTTAATGTAGATTCTAAAATGGGGTCAAATTTTTGATTGAACCGTTATCCATTGAAAAACCTCGATTTTAAAATGTTATTCCAAAATATTCATCTAATGATATAGTATATATTTATTAATTATTACTTTTTATTCAATTTTCACTTTTGGCGGGATTTCATTTTTTTGTTGTTGTATGGGCCATATTGTTCACCCAAAACGGAAAACAAAGGCAATGCATAACATTTTACTCCACGAACGTCGTCGACTCTCAGCGCGACAGATGCTTGGTGCTTGCATAATGACCGGAATGCCATATACAAAAGGTGCTCGCTTTCTTTCTCTTTGTGGAACTAAGCCCCCTGTGAAGAGTGGTGTCATGAGACAACAGAGATTTTGTGACGATAAGATTAGAAGACTTAAAAGTATTTCCCTAATGCTGTCGAGAAAGTCCTTCAGTGGTTACTTATCCATTGATGCAAGATGGACGCACAGGCGAAACTCGCCAAGTTGTACAGTAACTGCGCTCGATGCTGTCACAAAAAGAGTTCTTGCATGCGTGAACATCAACCATATTGGTGGAAACAGACAGCATGCTCAGTATTCCGGAGCTTCCAACAATATGGAAAGTGCTGGAACTCGAATCATCTTGAAGCAATTAAAGAAATACAATATCTTGAAAGATGTTAAAGAGATTATTAAAGACCGAGATAACAAAAGTGTCTCTGTCTTTAAAGAATTTGGCGTCTCTCATCTTGAAAGATTCGATCCAGGTCATGTATCAAAAAATATCTCAAAAGATTTTACAAAGTTCTCAGCTTCTCATAAGACAGTTGAAGTTTTCAACGACAAGACTCAGAAGATTGAAAAAATAGAGAGACCTTTCTGGGGTCTGAATGCAAGCCTAAGTATGTGGCTTTGGTCATGTTTTGCCGAAGAAAATATTGACAAACGTACGAAAATGTGGGAGAATTGTGTCTACCATTACGTAGGCAATCATTCTTTTTGCGAACCGCACAATTACAAATGCTTTGAATGGCAAAAAGGTGTCAATTCGATCCAACTTCAATTCATGCTCTATGACTGGGTTCACAAATGGACACCCATAGTTTCCAAAGTTTCTTCCATTGGATCTACCTGCATGAATGAAGCGTTTAACTCCAAAATTGCATGCTATTTGGACAAATCAAGAGCCTGGAAGAACATTAACATTAGAGTTAACGTTGCAATCTTAGAATGGAATGATCCAGAGCATTTTCTCGGAGATATACAAAAAGCATTACATCTTCCCCCACTTCCAGAAGATTGTGTCAAATCATTTGAAGAGAATTGTTACTCCAAAATGATATTGAAACAAAAAACTGTTACAAAAGGTTCTAAAAAACAGAACAAATACAAAAAATCCATTCAGAGTGTACCAGGAGGAGATTATCAAGTTTTCAAGTCCGAATGGGAATCAGAAGACGAAGACATTGATGACTTTGATTAACGAAAATTACATTTTATTTATTGTTTTTGTTTTTAATTAAATTATTATTATGCTCATTTTCTTATTTTGATTTTTTCTCATTATGATATAAATAATTTATTAATGCATTTATCCAATAATTATGCTATGATATTTTTATGCCTTATTTCATTTCTCTTATATTTGATAATCTGGTAAAATATAGTTCAGACTATAATCATTTTAGATTATTGATATATTTATATAGGTTAGAATAAAATTAGTTTCATTTTCTACTTTTATTTTGAATTAATAATTTATAATATCAAATATTATGGCGTAACCTCTCCTTTAAAATATAGATATATATAGGCCTATAGAGTTTATTGGCACTCTCAAAACTCTAGAATTTTGAGTTTACTATACCCTTAAAATCGTAGACATTTTTATACTTATTAATCAACCATTCAAAATCATATTCCTCTGAAAAGTTATTTTATTAAAAATTTAGAATTTTAATAAATATAGAGTTTGAATTTCATACAATACCTATATATTTTCAATAATGGGATTTGAAAACCATTCTCAAAAGTTCTCAGAAAACCTTTTTTCATTAATTTTAAGAAATCTGAGTATTAAATTAAGTGATAAATTCGTTTGACACTACTTTAATTTTTAAATTCAAAAAATTATATGTGCTTCTTAAAATGACTCAAAAAAAATTTATTATAAAATAATATATAATATTAAAAATCCCACAACATTTTTTTTACTTTACATAATCATACTTCCTCGACGATTAATTTCCACTCAATTTCTATCGTTGACCGAACTTAGCATGCAACAGTAAAGATTCTTTTTAATAAAAAATAAAATTTTGAAGAAGAACACAAAATCTTCTGAAAAATAATATCACATAAACTCATATTATTTTCTAATATATAACTATTTTATATAAAAATCAAATTCAATGATCTTAAAAGCGAAGGATAAACCTCAAAATTTACGAATATAATGAGTGGGAATATAATGCTTATCTATCATAAAACCATATGAAATATCAATTTTTGCTTTACGCCTAATTTTTGACGACAATTAGCAAAAAATGTTAAATGTTAACACTCAGTCGAGTGCGGGACAAATTTGCCAGGTGTCACTTTTTCAATAACCTTAAATTATGCTTTTCTATTTTTTTAAAAAATAACCTTAAATTATATTTGAAGAAATTATGTCTATGATATATGTTTTATGCTAGAATCTTGGAGTTTTCATGCACTACACAAGAGCTCCAAGGTTCCAAGAGTGAATGCTCAATAGCAATTATAGAGATGTACCTTTTCAAAATGACTTTTACTGATTAAATTTAATCAATAGAAGACATTTTGAAAAGGTACCTCTACAATTAGATATACAAGAGATTCAAAGCTTCATTTCAGATAGATTTGAAACTTTGAAACTCTTGGTAGATTTTGAGTGAATGCTGACAATCATCTTTGAGAAGGTTTTCTTTAAGAAAACCTTCTCAAAGAGGTTTCTCAGGAGCCCCGAGGCTCCCTTTCGTAATGATTGGGAGCCTTGGGGCTCCTGAGACGAAGAATGGCTTCGCCGAATCTTTGATCAGCAGAGGCCAAATGAAAAGGCCTCTGCTGATGGATTCTCAGGAGCCCTGAGGCTCCCTTTCGTAATGATTGGGAGCCTTGGGGCTCCTGAGACGAAGAATGGCTTCGCCGAATCTTTGATCAGCAGAGGCCAAATGAAAAGGCCTCTGCTGATGGATTCTCAGGAGCCCTGAGGCTCCCTTTCGTAATGATTGGGAGCCTTGGGGCTCCTGAGACGAAGAATGGCTTCGCCGAATCTTTGATCAGCAGAGGCCAAATGAAAAGGCCTCTGCTGATGGATTCTCAGGAGCCCTGAGGCTCCCTTTCGTAATGATTGGGAGCCTTGGGGCTCCTGCAGCAGAGTATCGCTCCGCTCCATTAATTTTTTTTTAAAAAAGTGCCGTGTGGCAAATTTGTCCTGTTCCCACACTCAGTCCATTTGAATATGAAAAATAAAATTGACTTTGATTAAATGTTTTTATTTATCATGCAATTCTTCTTGCGACCAAAGATTTGAATAAAAGTTCAAAAAATAAGATAGCTTAAGAGTGGGGGACAAACTCGCCCATTGTCACTTTTTCATTAACCTTAAACTTGTAATTTTCATTATTTTTAATTAACCTTATTTCTTTCCCAATTCCTGATTTATTTTATTCACTTACTATTAAAAGTCACATTTTAATAAAATATAATAATTTATTTATAGCATTTTTTACTATACTGTAATAAAAAATTAATTATAATAAATTAAATGTTTATTAAATCAAATGTTTTCTTTGCAATAATATTTTTAATGTTGAGTAAACAATGTTGGGATCAAGTGTATCATTTTTCAGACCTTTCTGAACAGCTTCAAGCATACTGATGCATTCGACTTTTTTAAATTGTGTCATTTCTTCGAAATCTCTTGTGACTTTTTTGATAACTTTAACACTTCTCTCTGAATCCAGACCTTTAATTTGCAACTTAATCAGGAATGAAGGAACAACACTGGAATATAACTCGATGACAAGTTCATCGAGTCGAAGATTTCGCCTTTCTGGGAAGTACTGGTGCTTCAAAACCTTGAAATGTGATTCCGAGATGTTGTTTGTTCCATCTCCTTCATTTCTATAGCGAAGCATCCACCTGTCAAGATGATGGCGCCACTGTCGGTCAAAATATTCACGGGCAGCAGGTTCCTCATTTAAAATTTCTTCTAAATTGTTGTAAACTTCATCAGGATCAATTTCTTCCTCTTCAGAACCAAAGACCAATAACTTCATTAAGTTATAGAAAGTTTCGAAGTTGGAACGATCTTGAAACTTTTCAGCCTTTCTCATGACAGCGCGCAACACATGAACGCCACACCAAATGATCTGGCATAAGGGATGGCTGTTTCAACAGCATTTGTGATTTGAGGTGCGCAGTCCATTGAAAAATAAGATGGTTCGCGATTGATGGAGCCAAAATATGCTGTGAGACAAACTTGTATATTTTCACTTGTGTCAGGCCAAACGAAAAAATACAAAAACGGAAAAACAATTGATTCCGCGAATTTGCCAGTGACGGCATAAAATGGTATGCGAGAGCGCAAGAGCTTATAAGTGGAATCAATGTGATAAGTTTGTATTTGATGTGAAAAAGCATTTGCTTCGAATGGGGCGTAATAGAAAATCATACGATCTGGGTCGTGAATAAACTCGATGAGATCATCCGGAGAATGACTCTTAACCATGTCGACAAAAATTGCAAGAGATGTAACATCATCCGCTGAGAAACGGGTATTGATTGCATGAAGGCGTTTAGAAAACTTTTTTAAAGCATCTGTAGATTGTTGAAACATTTCCGGAATGATCCCACTATCAAATGGGATATTAAGATCTTTGAAACACCTTAATTGTGCGTAAACACGGTCTTGATTTGATTCAAAATATCTTGTTAAATAAGATCTATAAAAATATGATGTAATTTGTTGTGATTTGTTTGGAAAAGGGGCAGAATGATTGTGGGTGTTAATACATTTTCGTATGTGGTACTTGTCATCGGGAAGTGTATCAACAAGGAAGCGACATGGACAATTCGGCCACTTACAATTAAATTGGATTTGATTTCTTTCTTTCCTAGTTTTATATGAATAACTACAACCTGCTTGTATTTCTTGTTGCACTCCATACTTAAGCAACTCGATATATGTGAGTTCGTGATCTTGGATCTGCATTAAAATGAAATGATTTGAAAGAATAAAGAATTTTGAATATATTGGTCTTATTTTGATAAGCTTGGTCGTGTTTTGAATAGCTTGGCCATCTAATTCAATTATGATCTTTGAAAATTAGGTGAAATAAAACTAAACATAAATGTAAAACTAGGGATATGAAATTTTGGTTGTACACCACTTGTATGTGCCGGATACTATTGTGTCAAATTTTTTCTGAAATTAACTTTAAAAGTACTAAGTAAGATCATGAGATATAGCAATATATGTTTAAACCAACTTATATTTTGGTTGTACACCACTTGTATGTGCCGGATACCATTGTGTCAAATTTTTTCTGAAATTAACTTTAAAAGTACTAAGTAAGATCATGAGATATAGCAATATATGTTTAAACCAACTTATATTTTGGTTGTACACCACTTGTATGTGCCGGATACCATTGTGTCAATTTTTTTCTGAAATTAACTTTAAAAGTACTAAGTAAGATCATGAGATATAGCAATATATGTTTAAACCAACTTATATTTTGGTTGTACACCACTTGTATGTGCCGGATACCATTGTGTCAAATTTTTTCTGAAATTAACTTTAAAAGTACTAAGTAAGATTATTTATTTTTGCATAATATAATGCCAATATGGTTTCTTTTAATTTTATTTCATTTATAAGCAAATCAGATTTACCCAAAAACTCCACTCCATAAGCGTTCATTTGCGAAATTAAAAAGTGACAATGGGCTAGTCTGTCCCTTTCTCGATAGCTTAAAAAATAATATACGGTAGTGTTTACTAATAGATGAATAGTATATAAATTCTATTAAAATGGATTTGATCCAAAAAAATATAAAACCAAAAATAATTGTTATAATTTAAATGAAGAAGTAATTTAAAACGATTTTATTTATGATCAAATTTTATATATTTTTTTGGATCAAATCCATTTTAATAGAATTTATATACTATTCATCTATTAGTAAACACTACCGTATATTATTTTTTAAGCTATCTTATTTTTTGAACTTTTATTCAAATCTTTGGTCGCAAGAAGAATTGCATGATAAATAAAAACATTTAATCAAAGTCAATTTTATTTTTCATATTCAAATGGACTGAGTGTTAACATTTAACATTTTTTGCTAATTGTCGTCAAAAATTAGGCGTAAAGCAAAAATTGATATTTCATATGGTTTTATGATAGATAAGCATTATATTCCCACTCATTATATTCGTAAATTTTGAGGTTTATCCTTCGCTTTTAAGATCATTGAATTTTTTTATATAAAATAGTTATATATTAGAAAATAATATGAGTTTATGTGATATTATTTTTCAGAAGATTTCATTCTATATGCCTATGAAAAGTACTCTCAAAACTAACTTTTCCTAATTATAATTAAATCTAGAATATTGTATTATGCTTAGTATTATTTCATTTTTCTCATTCAATTTAGAATTTACAAATGTCAAAAAATTGAGAGCTGTCACTTTTGATGAATTTCTGTTTATTACAAAATAATTCTAATTTTTGTACAAATTATCATCAATCGGCAAAAAGTAAAAAAAGTAAAAAAAATCATCAACCGTGAACCAGAAATATATAAAATTTTATTTGATTTTTCAACATCAAGATAACTTCGGCATAAACAAATGTCAAAAATAAAGCGTTACAAATGTAAACTTTTTAAAGTGCCTGGTGTCAAAATTCGCAACAAAAATTTGAAATGAAGCAAAAAGGTGACAATGTTTGCGCAGCGCAAGTTCTTTCCAATCTCAGCAAACGATCCATTATTTGGTTTTTCGTTGGGAGGCGATGCCGCTTTCGACTGGGAAGATCTTGCGAATAACTCAGCCCAGGCCTTATTGAACATGTGCCGTAAAAATGATCTTCAAATCGATCCACCATATTTAAAGCGTACAATGATTCTTCAGCTTCGTGAATTCATGGAATCTAGAGGTAAGAGAGCTACATTACAGCTTGCTCCAAGCAGAGAACACGTTGCTAACCTTAGAATTGATTACTTATCAACAAGTACAAAGTCACAAAAGAGACAAGCATACACTCCATCCAGATCATCAACAAGCTCGGTCACTTCGGAAGAATATTCTTCAACAACATCATCTGTACCTCTCAACCAGCCATATCTCGAAGAAGATTGTCTTAAAGAGAAAGCTAACCTTGTTGACACAGTTCGTCTTGCATTCAAGGCTCCTACGAAATTCATGAACGAAATCTTATCAATTTCACCAGAGAAGCAAAGAAATGTCTTCAGATATTTATTTGCAGCGCTTCATATTATTCTATTTGTATCATATCTAACTTCGAATAACTTCAAATTGCAAAAACCACCTAGAACACTTAATTACCCATAACATGTTGCAAACCAATCAAATTATTTTCCCTATAGTATATTAAATATTAAATAACGTTTATATTACAAAATGATATTTTTTATTTCATGATAGTTATATAAAAATTTTATAAAAGTGTCTGATTGTGGGAGACATGCAGTCTCAGTGTGCATATATTCAATACTGTATTAAATTTCTGATGATATTTCGCATGTTTTGATTTTATAAATTGAGCAAATAATCTATTGCCGATATATATTTATATGACACAAGCATTTGATTAGAATACTAATGAACAAAGGGAAATGTATTGGTTATCATTAGTATTTTACGATTTTGACAATCAAATATTCTAATAGATTCTATACATGTAATATTTCTTCAATTGTTCTTTATCAAAATTGGCTTATTACGAATTTTGAAAACAAATATAAGTATATGTCGATCATTTTCTTAATAAGATGATTCACATATTCAAACAAATTACATTTATATAAAATTAATAGATTTAAAACTAAAAAGCAAAAAATTCAAACAATTTATTCTAATATTTAATATATAAATCTATAATATTCTCACCAGTGCCTTATATACTCATTATAATTTAGTATGAAATATGTTACATTAGTCACTGGATAAGCAGGTTCGTAATATCCTCGCACACCTTCAAGGTTTGTCCATGAACCGTGATATACTGCATCAACAACTCTTTGCGTATATGTGACCATATCGGTATAGTTGGTCATCTGTGGTTTCTTATTTCTAAATTGCATATTTGGATGAATAACGCCAATCATGAAAATATGAAGATGGCTACATAGCTGCATATTTGGCCCATCAGCTACATTTGAAAATAATAACACCATTCCTGTCGTTTCGTGCATAAAAATAGAATTATAAATACCAGACCCTTGTATTGTAACTAATATCTTTAATGACATCCAGTACTTAATAATTTCGGCCAAAGGAACATCATAAAACTTGTCATCTCTAATCCATTTGGATCCTTTTTCAATTATTGTGTTTTCGTTGAGAATTTTAACAAGATAGTTTGCATCACTGATGCACCTTAGTGATTTTTTCGGTCGGTTTGCAACTACGTATCTTTCTGGCATAATATATTTATAATCTTCTTTTTTGAAGACAATTTCTCGTATTTTTTGGAAGCCGCCACTTGCATAACCATGGGCAAGCTCTAATGTATGAACAATCCATAATTTTCTTACAAAAAATTGCTCATTATCTTTAATAGAAACAAATGTAATATTCAAATCAAGATATCGAGCAATATCATAGGTAATTTTTTGAAAAAGATGTGGGCTGACAACAACTATCCCCTTTTCCATTAAATCTTTGGGTACAAACATCATTGCACATAGAAAATCATGAATATTATGGCCATACATAGTCCAATGCTGGACATAATGTACTAACTCGTCAAAATATCTTGTAGTTCTCTTGACTGGATACCAAAAATTTGCTTCGGCGAAGGAAAATAATCTGATTATTTTGCCGTTTTGAACAATCATTTCTCGCTGGTAAAATACTTCTGGCATTAATGTCACATGTACAATTGATTGTGTCGTAAAGTTTTTAGGCACTTGATTGATATTTTCGAATGGTTTTAAAGTCATTTTCGAAAAATTCAAGCTTTCATCTGGCTCGTGAGTAACTATTGAGTAAAATTTTAGATATGGAAGATTATACCACCACTCATAACCCGTTGTTAATGGTTGAGTTGGATAAAAAACTGCAATAGAGTTATCTAAGTTTGGTTGATCATGAAGGGCTTTTAAATATAATAGAATGGCAGCATATACTTGTATAAATTCAATGTATAAAAGACAATATTCACATATTTTTTTACAATCCATTGATTGAATTTCAATTGACTTTTCAATTCCCTCAATTTCATAATTATAGTCAACCAAGATGTGCAATATCAAACTCTTTAATTCTGGAAATTCAAAATTGAGAGGTTATTCAATTTTTTATAAGATTTTGGGCGTCTCTATCTTTCTATCTGAAGAGCTTAAAAGGAAATCGTATATAGCAATATTTACATATATGGACTTGTGCGTATAAAAAATATACTTTCATTGAATGATGGCAGGATTCCTTGAAAATTGGATTTTAGAACACACAAAATTTGTGCATGCGGAAATTTAAGCATCAATAGATGTAATAGTATCCCATACCCAAAGTTATTATTTTAGTGAAACCAATTTTTTTCAAAATTATGGATTGCAGGTTCCCCAGTTCAGATTTGTTTGATATTCCGGGTGTAACTTCAGTAAGACATTCCAAAATATATGGATGATATTATTAATCGAATCCAAATCTCTTCTTCTGCAGAACCTATATTCAAACCCTTAGTTAAATGAGAATTTCTGAAGTGATAAATACTTTCACCGATTGCATTTTTCATCTGGTGAAGGATACCCTGATTTTACTCCTTCAAAGTTCCTCAAGGGTGGCGAAAAAAATTAAGGTTAAGAGTTTCATTGATGCAAAGTTTGTCTCAAATTCTCGGATCTGGAGGCAAATTTTCGTATTTTATTCTGATGCTATGTTTTGTTATTTCATCACCTATCCTATTCTTTGTTACCTACTATCACCTTTTCTATTTATTAGGTGAAGGAGATGGGTTGTCGGCATATGGAGAAATCAGACAAAAAATCGAATCGAATTCATCGTTTGTATTCTATGTTCCAATGAATTCTTCAACTAAACACAATCCTGACTATCGTATGAGATTCTGGGAAAAACAATTGAAAGATTTTACTGCAAAATATGAAAGGAATTATTTAGGTCCTTTCAAGTCTCCTGTTAATGGATTGGAAATCATTAATTTTACAGAAGGTTTTGAATTAGATGACTTTGATCATTGTGTGAAATTCTGCAACTCAGTCAAGCACTTCAAAAATAACTATATAGATTATGATTGGTTTATATTTGCCGACTCTAATACATACATTAATATTTCAAATCTTAATTCGCAATTAAAAGAGATTCAAAAGGATCATGATCCATTAAAAGAAGTACTTATAGGATATGGATCTTCACTTGATAATAAAAATCAGAATCCCAATCCTTCTACAGGGATAATTTTATCAAATTATGCTTTATCAGCTTTAAATCCAGATGCTATTGCAGTCAAACAATGCGAAACGAATATGCTGATGGATGTTCTTAAGAATGCTATTCAAGTCAAATCATTTCTTGGCCAGAACTATTTTGTCGTTCTACCGCAAGATAAAATCCATAAAATAGCAATATTGCGTGTTAAAGATCTTATGACATGCTCATATGATTCAATTCATTTTGGAGAACCAATATTTTATAATATCGGTAAGAATGATCAAATTTCAGTTGTTAGATTATTTGAAAGTCCAGATCCAAAACTTGGAATTGCACAAATACAAAATTCTTATTCATTCTGTTATTTTAATTAACTATATTTTTTATTCTTTGTTTGTAAATGTCTATATTAGCTTTAATTTCATGATAAATTTTTTATGTATAAGCAACAAGCATAGAATTACTATCTAATAATTATTTTATAGAATTTTTTTTTCCTTTTTAGTTTGGGTAATTAACATTCGGTCTATGGACAAGGCAATTTAAATATCCTTCACTAAATTTGTTAGAAATCTTTGAAAGGTAGTTATATTTTATAGATTTCTAACAACAATTTATGATTTAATTAGTATTATATAGAAGAACCACAATCATTCCAAATTTCAAGGAAATTTGCTGTACTTTGCGGACAAATAAAGGAAATTTTGATTTCCGTTTTATCTCCTAAAAGAGGTGATTATTTCATTGAATATAGTCTTTGTACTGGAGCATAATAATTCCTTATATGATGAGCTGGATAATTGGGGAAAATTGATTTATATTGAGTTAATTTTGGTAAAATAGGATGCTCATCAATATCGTGCTTCTGAGGAATCATTGATACAGACTCTGCAACAACTTTATGTCCAACAACAGATAACGGTACAGGTTTCCTTGGTGATACCGGAACTGTTTTTCTTGTTAATTTCTTCGCCATGATAAGTTTAGTAGGTGTAATATCAATTGGTTTAAAATCTTTAATTTTCGTGGTAATCGCAATATAGTCTGCTTCAATAGAATCAAAGGAGTTATTCATTGAAATTTTTTGACACTTTGATGTAAGATTTTGGAGAAAATTTTGATTAATCATTACCAATTAATTGTTTTACAAAAAATATGTCAGGGTCATTTGGCCGAGTGGTCTAAGGCGCCAGTTTAAGGCACTGGTCCGCGAGGGCCTGGGTTCGAACCCCAGAGTGACCATTTTTTAAAGTTTTTTTTTGCTTTTTGCTAAGATAAATAACTCATTGTTTCTCAGGGATCTTATATCTATAAAGTGATATTTTCATATTTTATATTAGAAATAATGTCAATAATGTTTACTTTATGAGAGCAAATAACTTTACCATGAGCAAGTTCAAATAAAGGTTGTAAAACTAAGATTCCCAATTCCGATTTGCTTCTAATTTTATGGATATGGTCATTAGATGATTCTGAAACAAATGGCTGATATTTTTTTCGAATCTGTCTGCTGAGTTTTGAGATCTTGAAAAACGCATTCAATTTTAAGTTAGATTTTCGAAAAATTTCAAAAAAATGTTGATTTTAAAAATAAATAGCGGTGTAGAAGAATTTATGCGAATTTGAAATAGAGGATATGTTTTAGTTTTGTCAATAGAGTATATTTATATTAGTAAAACCCCTATGAAATTCGAAATTAGCTAAATTAAGTCCGGGTGGAGAAGGATCATATACCAAAAGTTTTAAAAAAGTTTACGTGTCAGATTTAGCTTAGTGGAATAAACTGGTAGACTGAAGGAATGTAGTTCGAATATCATGGTACTAAGTTTTTTCTTTTTCACTTAGAATCATTGGATTTTTAGTTCTAGGTAGATATTGTATATATCTTTTCATAAAACTAGTTGCTTAATACACAATGTGCAAGCTTTTGGCAAAATCAAAACTGAGATAAAAGTTTTGGATAAGCATTATAATATTTATCATTCATCTTTTATCGGAGATAAGAGACATTTATTGCTGAGAAATTATTACTTATTAAGTAACTATATAAATTCCAGAAAGATTTATGAGATTCATATAAATATTGAATAACATTTGCTTATCGATGATATTTATTACTGGTTCATGATTATAAAGAATGCATGCATTTGATGTTATTAATAAATCTCTATAAAACTAAATTCTATTTCCAATAATTAGAATATAATTTTGCTTAATTTGCTAGGATAACATTCATTCTAAGTAAAAATGAACTTAATATTTAAGATATTAACAGGCATTGCATATTGAGCTATCAAAACATGAAAAAAATATTGGCAAGTGTTAAAATGCTTATCTTGTTCATATTTGTTATATGAAATGGACAAATTTATCATGATATTACTAAATACCTTTGCAAAAATCGAATTAACTGAAATAATTAAAAATAATTTAAATGAAATATAGAATTTTGCATTGCTGGTGAGAAAGTATCATACTACAACATTATGTATTATAGCACTCATTAGAAGCAGAGTCTTCTCCAGCGTTAATAGACAAGAATTCTCTCATTTCTCTTGAAAAATAAAACATATTCAAATTTAATTGAAAAAAAGAAAAAAACAAAGATGTAATTATTCGAACTACGTACTTTTTATTATATTTCTCATGCAATATCCATTAAGCTATCTGGAGACAGAGCTTTTCAAAATATTTTAGGTATATGATGATTTCCACACAATTTTGGGCAAATTAATTGTTGAGTTTAAGCTATTCTTTGCATCAGATTGCTCCTATTATTATACAATATCACTTTTTAGGTAAAATCTAATGCTTCGAATATTTAATTATTTATTATTTTTCGATACTTATGTTAGCATTATAAATATAGCTCATTAGCCACTCAAATTTTAAAATAAAAATACATATGACATTAAACTGTTTGACTTAATCTTATAAATGAACCAATTACTTATTATCTTGTATTAATTGTGTAATATATACAAAATTTCAGACTAAATTTAACTTTTAATTTCTTAGTCACGCTCATATTTATGAGTGCTCCTGTAAATTGACTCTAAATTATTCGATTTTAATAGGAATTATATAATTTTGAAATTCTTTTACTTTAATATTCTTTATTTATATATTAGATATTAATTTACTTAATATTGGCTATTTTTATTTCCCAAGTTTTTCAAAATTTGCCATGTAAAGTTTAACGTACTTTTTCCTCATTTTACGAATTGCTATCAACAAAGCTTTCCTCTTTAGAAAAACATAGTATAATGTTTTTAAAAACCATAATTTAGTGCGCCTATCTTCCAAAATTCAAAACAATTGCTGAATCTGTTAATTCCTGATTCAATTAACACCGAAATCAAGATTAATCAACTTGAATCAACTTTATTTTCATTTACTAAAGCAAACTGACTTTACTGACATTACAAGCTATACTAATTATCTATTCAAACGGAAATTACAAATCGTTTTGAAAAATTGTACAGACAGATTTGCAAACCCATCGAACCACTTTACCAGCTTCAGGATACGCATATACCCTCCAAAATAAAAGCGAATCGGAATTGCCAATTTTTAATTAAAATCTAACTAAGCTTAATTTGAATAAAAACATTTACTATATATGATAATGAAACATCTTATATCGAAATGAGTTCATAACTCCATTTTTTACTTTAACTCAATTTAATTCTTTCCATTAAGTAGAACTATATATCTAACCATATCCATAAGATACTTTATGAAGTGTTAAACACTTCTCTCGTTTGCATGTTCCTCACCTGGAGGGAGACTCCAAACTTGCTCGATCAGGATTCCTCCAGGGGGTCCAAAAATTTTTAAGGTTAAGAGTTTTACAACCTTTGTTCAAATGAGAAAAGTACTAATGTCAAGTTACTGTCTCAAATTCAACTTTCAAATTGTTTGGAGATAATTAACAATGTCATTATGACCATATTTTTTTGCACTTGATAACGGAGTGCTTCCATTATTATTAGTGATTTCTTTATTAGCTCCAATAGAGATAAGGTATTTTACAACTTCAATATTACCTTCAATCGATGCCCACAGAAGAGCTGTATTTCCTTCTACTGTTTTCGCTTCTATGTTCGCTCCAACAGATACAAGATATTGGACTACTTGAATTCTATTATATCCTGATGCTCGAATGAGTGCTGTACTACCTTTGTTATTTTTTGTTTCAATGTTTGCACCTGCCGATATAAGATATTTTACTAACTCAACTTCATTATTTATTGATGCCGAAATAAGGGGTGTATCACCAATATTATTCTTTGATTCTATATTAGCTCCAATAGATACAAGATATTTCGCTAACTCTAGATGTCCTTTCATCGATGCCAAAAATAGTAATGAATTTCCTTTCACTGTCCTTGATTCTTTGTCACATCCACTTTGAATAAGAGATTTAACAAGTCCAACATTTCCTCTAAATGCTGATTGCTGTAATATATTTCTATCCTTTTGACCATTTTTATCTAAAAGTCCCTCATCACATGCTTTTTTGATCATCTTGTTGTTATTTTGTTTAGAAAGATCATCAAAAAATGCGTAAATACTTTCAAAATCGTCCGATGCTTTGAATTCATTAATTTTTGAGAGAATTTTTTTCTCTTGATTACTAGTAAGAGATTTTTCTGCTTCTTTTTCTTCTATTTCTTTGAGTAAACGTTCATTTGCTTGTTCAAGTTTTGAAATTTTTTGGAGATTTGTTTCATTTTGTTGGAGAACTGAATTGAGTAAATCCTGGTAATGTTTATCATGTTGATTAAGTATTTCAATAACATTATCTAATAGTTGAATTTTTAGATAACGTTTCATCAAATCTAAAACAGAAACGGCATCTTGATAATCATTCATGTTAACAATCACATTTCGAGCGCATTTGTATAATTTTGTTGCTCCAATAGCATTATTTCCTTGTTTAAGAAGAGAATTGTATGAATTTGGAGTTAATTTTGCAGATTTAAGTATTGTTTTTAAATCATCTTCATCGAATACATTAAAAAGATTTTCTTGTTCTAAATATTCATCAATATGACTCGAGGTATACTCGAAATTCTGAATCATCCAAAATGGCAAAAAAATTGTTGAAAAAATTTTATGGATTCAAGAAACATCTGTTTATTATGATCATTAAAATTCTCCAGTTTCACAAGTCGTAAATTTACAATGACTGAAAAATTCTCATCATATTGGAGGCAAATCTCATTATATCTCACAGATCGTAGGCTCAATCAAGAACTATCTTCAAATATCAGGTAAAGAAGGCTAAACAGCTTATGAATTACAATATTTCATAACATTGTTTATATTTTAAAAACAAAGACTCATTCTATTTGTTTATTTACGCTTGTTTGCAATACTTTGGAGTTTTGCTTAAAAAAGTAGCGTATAGCAAATTCAGCCTCATTGCTGAAATGCATAGTTTTAACTTCAATGGTATCGTTATTAATACTAATTAATATAGTAAAATTTCGATATTCTTGAAGGTGGAGAGAAGATCTAATGCAAATCCAAAATTTATATACTTCCAAAGCTCCTACGGCAGACAGATAACCTTCTATCCGTGAGGTAAAAGGGTGTATGTTAGTAATATCAATTTGCTCGAATTATCTCCATACATTACCATTATTCTATAGTTCGAGAATAATTATTGCAACCTTAACGTCATAAATGTTAAATCAAACAGCTGTCACCGTGACTTGATCATTGCAAAGAGAAAGGCCTGAGAAGAGCTGATTTCGAAAAATAAATAAACGTCACTTTTTTGAATTCGTTTTTTTTCCTAAAATTTTGAAAAAATGAGTGAAGAAGATTTCAATTCTCCCGGAACAGTTGCAGTTCGCCCATATCAAGCCCCTCCACAACCACAGACTGTTGATCCTGCTCTTGATTCAAAAGCAATGCAATTAGAAACAGAAATTCGACAACAAAATTCATCAATTAAATCGATATTGGAAAGTTTAAAGCACATGGAATCATCACAATTACCAGGCATGGCTACTACACTACAAAATTTGCGTACTTCGATTGAGAGAGTCGTTGTTGCAGACATACCTAATGCTGTTAAACCAGTAGAAGATGATGTAACACGCGTTAGACAGAAATTTGATAAGTTTTCTGGCGAAGCACAAAACAAATTGCAGTTTTTGAATGAAAAACTCGCAGATGCATCATCAAATATCGGTCAAGTTCTTCAGAGATACGGAGACTTAACAACAACAGCACGCACATCTGTTGCTGAAATCGACGCTGAACTACAAAGGCAGAGAGATACTCTTGATAATGCTACCGCAAGATTACATGGCTTAGAAGCGGGAATGGGACAGGCAGATGAGATTCTTCGATCTCTTAGAACAGAAATACAGAACTTAACACGTGCTTTTAATGAAAAATTATCACAATTTCAAGGTGAAACTGTTGCATCGTTTGGATCTACCTCTGCATCGCTCGGAGCCGCCCTTAAGAACGAATCTAAGGTCAGGCAGCAAACAATGCAACAAATACAGAAGCAAGTTAATGACGTGAATCGTCAAACAACAGATGTTGTTTCAAAAATGTTGACATTTTTAACAACGACAAAGAATCAGTACCAAACATCCTTAATGGCCTTATCAAAAGCTGCTAAAGAAGGTCTCATCTCCTGCAGTGCTTCCTCAGCTGATGGTTTCTCCCAATTGGCTGCAAGAATGGATCAATTTGTCGCAGATTCGAATGCCCAGTTTTCAACATTGGAAAGTGATGTAAATTCAACAATTCAAGCTCTTAAAAACCATATAGTTACAACAAGCCAAGGCTTAGAGACAGCGCTAAGCTCTGTATCGCAAGCACGTCTAAACAGTGAACAAGATATTGTTGCTCGTTATGATGAGTTGAAGACTAATTTAACACAACAATTACAGCAACAATCCGAAAGAATGGGAAATCTAGTGAACCAAACAGTAACTAACTGCACAGCAGAACTTGATAGAATCACAGGAACAGTTAAAGCCCAATTGGCTGAAGTAAGAAGCCAAATTGAAAGAGTTCAGAGATTAGAAGCAAGATTAAATGCTGTAAACAATGCAGCTGTTGCAACTAGATCTCAACTTGCAGAACAGATATCACAGATATCGCAAAGATATACTGAATTAACAACTTCTGTCGAAAAATTACAAAATGATTTCAGAAAAAAGGTCGATGAATTTGATACAAGGATAGAATTCTTCGAGGCTCCGGAGAATAGACCAAACTATGCGACGAAAAAGGAATTATCTGATGTAATACAAAGAACTCAGCAAATGTTTGATGGAAGGTTTGAAGAAATTGAGCAACAAATCGGCCAAGTGTTCGCGCATATCTCCGAACTTACTCTAAAACAGCCGAAGAAGCCTTCTTCTTCAGGTGAACCTGGAGCTGAAATGTTGAGCAAACTTGTTAGTGAACAAAACAAATAAAAATATTATATTTACGTATGGTTGTTATTCTGTAAATTAGTTGACTTTTTTAACAATATTTTTATGGAAAATCCTCCTGATCCTGAAACTGTCACCGAGCAAGTAATTCAAAGACTTCAGGATGGAGAAGATAACGAATGGGACAATATCAACATTTTTACGCAAAAAGCCGATTTGGCAAATCTGAATATGATCACTGTAATGATGTGTTAATTGCCCCATTCAACACGTGTATTTTTTCGTCTGGCTAACTCAATGCGATAAATGTATTTCTTGAAATTGATTTTATAAACTTAACAGAATTTATCAATTCATGCTTTTAGTATCTAGCTATTGGAATTGCTATAGGAGAGTGGAAAAAAAATTCTTGAATTCAATCTTAGAATTATCGTTCTATCACAGAACAATCAATCCAGAACACCCTTAATAACCAAGTTTATGATCATAGTGCTGTAAACAAATGGTCCAGCGAAATTCTCGAAATGACACTTCGTACACTCTGCGAGCGCTTCGCAGCTTACAAGTTTGTTTCTCAGTGCCTTATCCTCCAAAAAGCAGGAGGTGGTCTCCATGTTTCATCATCTTGCTACTGGGATTCAAATTCTGATGGCATGGTTACAGTTCGTTGGAAAAACGAGTCAATGCACTGCATTGTTTCAATTTATGGCCTTGCTGTTCAATAAATATTCTTCATTTTTAAAATTATACGCCATTCTCTCAAATGAACTAACTTAGAAAGGAAAATAATCAAATCTTACTCTTTATTGCATATATTAATGCAATTGTTTAGCTATTTTGATTCAAATTCTTTTCTTCTCTATATGAAATTCTGTTTTTTTATTTTCGAACTTTGTTTAATATTGGTAATGTTGCATGCTAAGTTCGGTCAAAATGTAAACCTCTCAATTTTATCGTCGGGGGAAGTAACTCAATTCCTTCAAAATTATTCTTTAAATATTGAATTTAAAGTTATTTAATTTGGATTATAAATAAATAGGCTAATACAATATTTAAAAATGAGAAAAAATAACTTTTCAAAGAACTTTTCATAATCTCAAAGAAAATTTTTTATTCAATAATTATATAAATTAATTAACATTCATAATGAAATTGGATTTTTTTTATTAAAAATTTGTCCTACTTAACTTTTTGAGAGAATTTGGCTTTCTCGTAAACGAAAAAGGGGATTTGACGGAGTCAAATCCCCGCTCACAAAAAGTGGACTTTACATGTCAAATTTTATATGCATGTAATGTCCACTTTTATGAGTTTTAGGAAGGAATTGGAAGCCATGAGTTACTGACATTGCATCAGTATCTCATAGCCTCCAATTCCTTCAAAAAATGGGAGAAACTTTGTCCGAATAGTTTAACATTCGGACAAAGTTTCTCCCATTTTAAGAAGGAATTGGAGGGTAAGAGATATACCATATGAACGTATATCTCTTACCCTCCAATTCCTTCTAGAAAGTGTCCAAACTTGTGGTTAATTGCAAAGTATTAACCAAAGTTTGGGACACTTTCAAGTGGAGATGGAAGGCTTTGGGGTATATATTAATACAATATACCTCAAAGCCTTCCATCTCCACTACAAATGTGAGAAACTTTGTCCGAATAGTTTAACATTCGGACAAAGTTTCTCCCATCTTTCAATGTAATTGCTACCTGTGAGGTACTGACTTGAAGTCAGTGCTTCACAGGTAGCAATATCCAAAAATTTAAAAACATTTTATCAGTTCGTTAGAGAACTAGAGCCTCCTAGGTACTGAACCAGAATCAGTGCCTAGGGGACTCTAGTGATCTATATAAATCTGAGAAACTTTGAGGAAATTGTTCGACATTTCCTCAAAGTTTCTCAGCAATTTAGCGAGGGATGTTCGTTATCGTGTAGATATTTATAATATATACATGATAACAAACATTCCCCGCTAAAAGATGTAAAATCTTATAAGAAATAATTGCAAAAGAATAACAAATTGCAACAAATTTTATATGAAACTGAACCTTATGAGGTAGTGATTCAAGATCACCGCCTCATAAGATTCAGTTTCAATCTCAAGTATCTCAAAAGTAAGGCTCTATTTTTTGCCATGTAAAGTGTCACTTTTTCTGTCCAAATGATAAGTTATTCAGAGAAAGTTTCCCAGCTATCAAGAGGGAATTGTTCCTTATGAGTTATATATTCATACTGTATACCTCATAAGGAACAATTCCCTCCTTAAAACGAGAAAACTTGTTCGAAATTGTTTATCATTTCGAACAAGTTTTCTCGTTTTTAATAAGAAACTAAAGGCTATGAGGCACTGATTATATATTAGTGCCTCACAGCCTTTAGTTTCTATAGATAGCTGGGAAACTTTCTCCAAATGATAAGTTATTCAGAGAAAGTTTCCCAGCTATCAAGAGGGAATTGTTCCTTATGAGGTATATAGTTATAATGTATACCTCATAAGGAACAATTCCCTCATTAAAATCGTAGATATTTTTACTTATTACTCATGCTTTCAAAATCACAATCCTCTGAAAAGTTATTTTTTATTAAGAATTTAGAATTTTGATAAATACCTTTTTTCAATTTGATATAATACTTATATATTTTCAAAAAGACATTTTGAAAGATATCTCAAAAGTTCTCTGAAAACCTATTTTGATTAATTTTGAGAAATATCCGTATTAAATTAATCAATAAATTCATTCAACACTACTTTAATTTTTAAATTCAAAAATTATATGTGCTTCTTAAAATGTCTCACAAAAATTTTATTTATAATTATATACAATATTAAAAATCCCACAACATTTTTTACTTTACATAATCGTACTTCCTCGACGATTAATTTCCCCTCAATTCCTATCGTTGACCGAACTTAGCATGCAACAGTAACGAATAATAAAAAAAAAAAAAAAAAAAAAAAAGGTAGTGGGCTTCCAGGGGCTGCGCCCCTTCTAGCCCCGAAGATGTTTAGTATAAAATGAGGTTTTTATTCGGAAAATTGTGAGTCTTGTGGTTCATCTTCTTGAGTAGAGTCTTCTTCTTCAACATCAAAGTCATCTGGTGTATCGAATTGAATGTATGAAAGCCAAATGTTGTATGTGTTTTCCAATTGGCTTTCAAACTTGAGATACATTCCATGCATGAGTGTTATTTCAGTTTCAACGTAGAGTTGCTGATGTGGCTTGAAGACATGCATGAGAATTGGTCCTCCAAATTCGTCCTTGAAAAATTTGCAGTAGCAAACATAAACTGAGATAGAGTCTCCTTCTTCAATGTCTTCTGCTTGGTTAACGAAATGAATAGCAATTTTGCGTACTTGAATTGTGTTGTTGTCTGAGTAAAATAATGGTTTGAACTTGGGGTTGAGTGAGCTAAGACATTGCCATTTTGCTGTTTTCTTGTCCGTACTCACGTTCTTCTTCGTCATCTTGATATCCGTAACTCTTTAATTTGAATTCGACACAAAACTGTTCGACTTTTTTTTGCAGCTTTGGGTGGAAGACTTTCAATAAGCTGACATATAGTTCTGTCAAACACTATCTTTGTTATTGTTGGAAAATAGTTGACAATTGTGTCGCCTAATTCGAATGGGTCAGGTGTTTCTTTTTGTAGTTTGGTAAGTCTGCAAGAACTTTGTTGAGTTGTTCACAATATTCTTTGTTAAAAGTTGCAGCAACTCTTTCTTCTGGCTTTGAATTGAAGTATTCTTCAGACAATCTGAGTAGTATTTTGCGTAGTTCAGCGTTGCTGTGGTTCTTTGTAATACGGAGCTCGTTTGGTATTGTTTTTGGTAGTGAAATGGCTTTGGATTGAGCGAATTGCAGGACAAATTTGAATTTGAATTGTCTGTTCTGCTTGGAGAATGTGTAGATGCTGCAGTTTGATATTGAGGCTCTAAACCTGTGGGCGCTGAAAGTCTGCAAGCAATTTCTTCAGGTGAATTTGGAGCGAACACGCTAGCGAATGCCATTAGACAAAAATAAACTGTTTTTTCGACTACTCATAGAAAAGTTTAAAATAAACCGTTTTCGTCAACGGTAACCCCTCATTTTTTTTTTATTTTATTTAATAGTTACCGTTGGCAAACCGTTCCATCTCAAATATTGAATGAACTATAAACGTTTTTTGTTTTCTATATATACTTTTTTCACCATCGGACAAACTTTTGACAGAAAGGAGCTTACACATACTTTACACTTGTCAAAATATTTTTAACATACGATAGTATATATTTGCTCGAACAAATAATGGTCTATCGTCAACGCTCATAAGAGATAGACCCACTTTTCTAAAGTATATATTTGAGTACTTTAAAAAAATATTATAGAACGATATAACAAATATTTTACAAAACTGACAACACTTTGACCGAGTAGTTTTTTGAGCTGAAACAAAAGTGTCATATAAACATCTGTCAAAAACCGCTTTTTAACTTCACTTAAAATGCCACGTAAGCTACGTAAGAATATACGTAAGAGGAAGAGAGCATTGAAACATCCAATAGTAAAACTGACACCACAACAACAGTTGCAACAACAAATGCTGAATGACCCCACTATGTTGCAACAAATGTCAAGCAATCCTATGCTTTTAAACCGAGTTGTTGGTGCACAGAGTGGAGGTTTAAGAGCGGCACTTTTAGCGAAAATGGCAGGCTATGGTGGAGCTGCAGACGAACAGCTATAACCCTCAAAGTCAAATGAATTTGAGTTCACTCAAAAATCAAATAACAGATGTCAAAAAGTCAAACTAGACATACAGAAGCAAATAAGTGAAAACGAAAAGAAACTAGAATATGACAGACACACAAAGAAACTCAATGAGTTAAACGTAGAGAAAAAGAAGAAAGAAGAACAACTGAAAGAACTAAGTACAGAGGAATATGCGAAAAAAGTGTCAGAAAAAGCAGCAGAAGTAGCAAAAATGGAACAAGATGTCATAAATTTGAAAAACCATACTACTCAATATAAAATACTGAAAGATGAAGAGATAAAACAAAAAGCCCTGAAGACATATATGGATAGCGATGAGAGTATAAAAAAGAAGTTGAAGCAAATGTAAAGGCAGAAAAACTTTTACAGTTGCAAAACCAAACCGTACAGTATGAAAACTTAGCACAAGAAAGTAAAAATAACGACGCAGCCATGCAAAAGGCAATGAAAAGCGCAGAATATATAAAAGCTAATAATGACTGGTTAGATGCCCAAGCCAACGCTAAAGCAGCCCAACTCATAGGGTCAATAAGGACAAAAACAAAGCGGATGAAGACAGTTCAAATGAAGCTTTAACAAATGCTGACTTTAAGAACGCTTTCGAAGCTCTTCATAGTAAGGTGAAACAAGTGAACGACTTCTCATCTGGAAGAAAACTGAAGTCTGAAGGTTTCGACAAAGAGTTAAAGAAAGTAGCACAAAATATGACGAAAATAACAGATGCAGCAACGAGACAGGCAGTTCAAAGTGCCTATGACGCCGTTAGAGCAACTGTTGTGAAAAGTCAAGAAAAAGAGTTACAACAGACCAAAACAGACCTAGTAAATGCTTTCTTAAAAACGAAAAGTCAGGTAGGACATTACGCTGCAGATGGAACATAGTTGCCAGCTGGTGGAACTTATATACCAGCTGGTGGAACTTATATACTAGCTAGTGGAACTTATATACCACCAAACCCTCCAAGAGAAGCACCTGCACCAGGACTACCTAAAACATTTACATCGTCACATGGACACAGACACAGGCATGCACCAAAACCAACACAACAACCAACAGTTCAAAACCCTGCACAACAACCACCTCCACAACCAGCACAACAACCAACAGTTCAAAACCCTGCACAACAACCACCTCCACAACCAGCACAGCAACCAACAGTTCAAAACCCTGCACAACAACAACCACAAACAGAGCAAGGACATAAAAGAAGTAGAGAACAAGGAAACCAAGAATTCTTAAAAATGCTTAAGGAAGAGTATGGTTACCCAGATACTATTGACTTTAGTGACAGATATAAAGAAGCTATTCGAAAGTTCAATGAAGGAAATACTGACCCGAACCTATTTAGCTTTATGGCTCAACACCAAATCGGATATAATTTCAAACCTGGAAAATACAAGCTCGCAAAGGGATATGATTTAATAGCATATCATCCAAATGACATGAACGAATTTACTCCGAGATATTTGGTGTCAGAGCTAAATGACAATTCAACTATCTTCATGAAACGCGTAAAAATAGAGACGGAACGAAAGAACAAAGGCTTATGAATGCGAATGACTTAAATAGGGAACTTGTTGAAAACGGTCTCGGAATATATGAAATGCCAGCAGATGAGGTACAAGAAACTCCACAGGAAGAACTAGTTCAGATACAACCAGACATGGAAGAAATAGTTCAGCAACAACAGCTAGAAGAGCCTGAAGGAAACGAACAAGTCCTTCCTTTGGAAACTAACTTCACAGAACTAGATGAAGATTTGGAACAGCCGAAAAATCTTGACCCTCAACAAGAGTATGCGGAGAATATGGAATATTTCCAAGAGTCTAAAAAAAATTCGGCTGACATAGTAGAAGAATATCGAAAAATGTTTGCCGACATACAAAAGACTCCAGCACCAGATGAAAATATTCAGCATAGAATGGAAGAACTGAAAAAAAATGTACACAAATACAACAACCCTTTTTACTTACGAGCATTTAACGTTCAATCTTCGGATGAACTCGGTGAAGATAAAAGGTTAAAATTTCAAGAAAACATATAGAAATGAAACATTGTTTAAAGTTCATTCAGAACCTAACCAAGATGGAAACAAACCTACTTTTGTTTCTGCAGACGATGAGAACTACAATGAGATGGGTCATAAAGCTAATCCAGATAGGTGGTTCATAAACTTACAACCACAATTCCAAGAGTTGTAGACGCAATGGAAGTCAATGGGTGAACGAGATATAGCCTGGTATTTTAAGGGGAATCTCTCCTCCTTCACTTTCCGTAACTCGTCTTACAACAATACAGACAAACAGGTTATATATGAGTTTGAGACCAAGAATGGTGTAACTCGACCTGTCCGATTCAAAGACTCCGAGGGCGACCATGAAATTAAACGGAAATTAGCTAGGAAGGAATATAAAATGGACTGGTTGCCACCACCTCCACCACCTTTACCTGTTCCTCAAGTAAATAAGCCTTTCCCGTTCCCAAGAATTCCCACATTTAAATTCAAATTCGAATAAAAATTTTTTATTTCATGCAATGTTTAACTATTTCACCATCTTCTTTAACACCCCAGTACTTACGCTTGGAGAGGACATGAACTTCGGTGAAAATTTTGTCCAATTTGAATTGACCCATCTTTTCACCGACCATTCCCATTTCAATGAGTTTGTTATAGCCTTCTTCGTTCGTCATGAGTGCGTCAATGTTCTCATAGTAAACCTTGACTTTGGATTTGACTTCGGAGAAGAACTCATTGTAGTTGTCAAGGACTGCCTTTGCGAACTGAGGGTAAGACCAATGTTCGACAATAGGTTTTAATGTGGTTACTAAGCCACTTTGACCTTGAGTGAATTCGTACTTCAAAACAAAAGGAGAAAACCTTCAACAAAGTTGTCGACCTTCTCATAATGTTTACTCTTCATCTCTTGAGGTTTCTTAATGGAATATCCCCATGTCGAATTCATAAGCAATTTGAGTGTCATTGCAAGTTTGGGGTTTGAAGCTTTCCTAATATCATACAGTTGTTGTATGACTTTTCCAACTGTATAGTTCCTTCCCGGGAACTCACCATCTTCGTTTGGAATTCCAGTCGGAATATATTGGACAAACCTCATGTATGCAGCGTTAAGGTCGACATAGTATATCTTTTCATCTGAGTCGAACTTGTTGCAACCAATTGGTCCAGTTTGTGGAAATTCAAGTGAGTCTCTTATCTTCTGAGAAACTTCTCCTGTTATCTCATAAACATCGTCGAAGCAACCTGTTTCATATAAAACCTTCTGACCTAACTCAGATGCTCTCCAATATAATTTGACGTCAATTGGATGTCTCAATGGAAGTTTGTTTATAGCATCTTGAAGTTCTTGCAACCTCATTGGAAGTTCTTCTGGTTCAGGTTGGTATCTGAACATACCAACCCCTTGTGGAACCGTGTACTTCTTTTGTACTAGAACTTTGTCTGGAACAACTTTTGGTCTTGCTAACAATGAAAAGTTTGTTTCGTCTTTTGGTACAAAAGTTTCTGTCAGCTTGTCATCTGGAATTGGTTCCAACAAACCTTTCTTGAAAAGAATGTTGACAGCTCTGACAATGTTGCACTTACTTTTACCAAAGAATGGGTTTGTAAGACTTTCGTTCAACATGAAGTGGTTGTGGACAATTACAATCTTCAACCATGGTAAGTCTTTGTCAACAACATAGTCGTCATGTGAAGAACCTTTAGCTGTAGGTATGTTGACTCGGATATTGACATTTGCCAACGGTGCAATTTTTGCCAATTGACCTCTGAGAATGTACCTTGTCTTCACACATGACTCAAGATACTTCATCTTCTCATCTGTAACAAGACCAGAGTTCCTGAGACATGTAAGAATGCAAGGTTCATTGACAATTGTTTCAATTGAATTGTAAATTCCATACCTTGTCAAGTCAATGTCAGACTTATTTATGAAGGGGAAGTATCCAGCATGTTGTCTGACTGCTTGAGGGTTAGGTTGGTACCATTCGAACTTGACACTTGCAATTCCTTCAATTGCATTCAAAATGTCTGAGTCGGAGTCAACCATTTGTTCTCTCTTTGTAGTCTTGAAAGCGTCAAGAAGTTTTGCGGCTGTTTGTTCATTGCCATGTGCATAGTAAATGTGACCATCCAAATCTGTTATGGTCAATCTGAGATTGTGTCCTTTCTTATTTCCGTCTTGAATTGCAGCAAGTACTCCCATGAAGCCTTCTTTGTTCTTTCCTTCGTCAAAGTTTACTGTAAAGGTTCGACCAGATGTAATTTGACTTCTAACTTCACGATACTTTTCATATGCATATCTTGTTCTTTCCATGGGAGCATGTGCGTCTTCACCTTTTCCTTTTTTCCTTCTCAAAGGATGCAATTGTTCGTCATGTTTCCAGTAGAATCTGGCAAAGCCGTCGTGTCCTTCAACTTGAGGTTCACTAACATCGAAAGGCATGTCCATAAGACGTTCTTCTTCTAACCTCTCTAGTCTGTTTGGATAATTGGCACGTGCTGTTTCCAAATCCATTTCGTAGCGAAGACCAGACAATTTGTCATAGACTTTTATGGGTCTTCCCTTCCTATATTTAAAATTCTTCGAAACTCTCCAACCATATCTTTGTAACTCTGCTTTTATTCTAGCAGACTTTCTATCCATTCTATATGGGGCATTTTTATAAAAATAAAAAAATATTTTTTCTTTACTTTACATAACCGCCTGCTGCCATAAGTCTTTGACGCCAACCCATACCAGCTAATGAAGGTTGACTTGGTTTAGTTTGGAAACTAAACTTTGGTTTTGGTTTATCTTCAGTTTTTGGTTTCTCTTCTTCTATCGGTTTTTCGTCACTTTTCGGTTCCTCTGACTTTACTTCACTTGCAGGAACAGTTGTGTCGTCAACATCTTCATAAATATCATATGCCATTTGTTTTTGTTTTCCTTTCAACTTTTTGTGTTTGTTGTAAAGTTTAGAATATTTCGACTCTAAGTCAATGAGATGTTCTATAATGAACTGTTGGTCAGTGAAGTAAACTTTTCCATCTGTTGTCTCCAAAGCTGTAATGCATGAAAAATAGCGTGACTTCATTTTTGACAGTTTACAAATGTAAAGTGTTGCATCCTTAAAAACTTGGAAATATATACATTCATGAATTATCTTGTATATTAATTGAAAATCCATAAAACCCTAACAATATTTTTTCTTAAAAAAACTATAAAAATATAAATAAAATTAATCGTTAAATAAAAATATTTGATATTAGAATTTTATTGGAAAAATAAAAAACTTAATATTTTAAAGAAATACTTAAATACTTGAATGTTTTAACTTTTACATTATCATATAGACTCTCAAATTATTGATTGGAAACGGTTTGAGGGTTATCAATTTAAAAAAAATTGTGAGTTTTTTAAATTTTTGGCAATGAGTTTTAAAAATTTGTGAGTGAGAATGTGTGTTGATGCTTGGCACTTTGAAGGGAAGATGTTCTGGGTTCACAATTATTAATGGGATAAATAAAATGATTATAAATATAATATATTAGAAAATAATTTGCAAAATCTCTCCATTTTTATAAATTTAATAATAGAAGTTGATCTATATAGAAAGAGCATTTTATCTATTAAGTTTTTGGCTTTTGCCTTCAAATCATTAATATAATTTTTTCAAAAAAAATTGTTTTATTTAAAATAAACAAATTTTATCAAATAACTAGTATTTTTAAATTATCTTTTGAAAAATTGAAAAATTTACAAATTAAAAAATGGAAGACATCTTGGTTCGTCTCGAAAACCCAGAAGATCTTAAAACTTTTCAACTCCCAACCGTTCCCGCCGATCAGGTTCTCAACGTAATTGAAGAAAAATATCAAGAATACATTAATAATCCAAATGTAACTCTCGAAGATACGGCAAAAACACTTTCAATAGGAAAAGAACGTTTGAAAAAAATTTTCGTACTACTCGGCTATCCAATAAAAGAAAGAGGAAGACCAAAGAAAAAAATTTTTGAGGAAGATGTATACAAAATTTTGGAAATTAAAGCACAATATGACATTGGATACAAAAGGATCAAAGAATCATATTTCGAAAAAGTCGAAAGATTTACATTCAACGATGCTTTCAAAATTTTCAATCAACAACATTTGTTTACATTTCACAGGCATCAGAAAATCGACGAACATCCACATGAATACGTTGCTCAATATGTTAATCAATTGTGGCATACTGATTTGAAATTTCTGAAGGACGATAACGGTAACCTTCAATATTTAATTTCATTTCTTGATGACAGAAGCAGATACATTATTTGCTGGGATGTTTTCGATACAAAAGAAATGAAAAATACTGCCAGAGTATTTCGTCACGCAATTGATTTAGTCAAATTAGTTCCACATGGAATTCTCACAGATAATGGAACAGAATTCATTGGAAAAGATTTTGAAGCGGTTTGCCAAGAATTCAATATAAAACATTTCAAAACTCATCCGTACTCTCCAGAGGAAAATGGAAAAATTGAAAGGAGTTGGGAGACTCTTTTCAAGACAAACCCTGGAGTGAACGTCTTTGAGTTCATCCCCAATGTTGTTTCCCAGTATAATAGGGTATGGAAACACTCCGCATTATTCAAACTCTTTGGGGAGAAATTGACTCCATTTGAGGCCTGGGAAAGAGGCCCCAAATGGACAAAAGATCTCTGCGCTGAACCAGGCTTCGAAAAAAATCTTAGAGATTAACAAATAATTTCAAAAACAAGAAAATTCAAAAAATCACAAAAAGGAAGTTAAGGAATAAACACTTACATTTATTACATTTGGATTTTTTAAAAAATTCAGTATTATTTTTAGAAATAAGATAATATAGTTCTAAATAAAACAAAGAATGTTAAGAATGAAGAAGGAATTAGCGGATGCAGCCGAAGCACACTCACAAATTACTCTCAATATCCACTCAAATCATACAAAGTTTTGTCGAATAGTTTGATATAAAGACAAAAAATTTACAATTTTTAATTAAATCCGAACAATCTTACATATGCAGCTGAAGCACACTCACAAATTACTCTCAATATCCACTCAAATCATACAAAGTTTTATATTTTCATTTTATTGTTTCTTAATAAAGAATTTACTTTAATATTCTTAATTGTTTTCTTTTTTATATTTAATTTTTGATATCTATTTTAAAAAACTTATACAAATTCGAGTCAGCTAATAATTGAATTGAAAAAATAAAAAGAAAACATATAATTTTTAATCCGTCTAATTGAATAAGCAATATTATAAATATTATGTTAAACGGTTAATTTTTTCTCAAAAAAAATTATTTCGAATTTCCGAAATTTTTGACATTTTGGCTGAGAACTATGGTCTGCGAGGTACATAGATAGAATCAGTACCTCGCAGACTATAGTTCTCTATATGGCGCCGAAAATTTTTTGGTGAAATGTCGTCGCATTTCACCAAAAATTTTTCGGCGCCATAGGAAGAATTGGAGGGTGTGAGATACTATTACATGCTATAGTACTCACACCCTCCAACTCCCAATCAAAATCGCATAAAATTTGCTACTTATCTTCAGATTACCTCCCATTATAAAATATATCATTGCTATCTCATCGTACTATATTTCCACCCTATTGTATTTAAAAATATAAAATTTTTTGATAATATATTTTTATATCTTGAATTTTCAAGCAAAATATTCACAGATAATATAATGGGAAATCTATCTCAACCTAGCCTTAAAGTACCAAACTCCTGCTTGCATTCTCACTCACAAATATTAAACATCCATCTCCAAAAAACTAAATTCTTCACAATTTTTTAAAATTGAGAACATAAAAAATGTATGCATTCAATAATTTAAGATACTAACAAATATTAAAAACTTCAAAATATCAGATATTAACGTTTTTCAATTAAAAAAATATCATTTTGCTTTTCAATTCGAACATAAATCTTAAATATTTTTAATTAATATCTGATTTACAGCATTATTATCCATTTATAAATCTGACAAATAAATGACAAAACCATCAGAAATAGTGTCACTTTTTGTCAAAAGTGAAGTCACGCTATTTTTCATGCACAACACTCCATGGGCAAGCTTGTCGCAATTCAATGGGTTCCAAATCCAGGCAAGAAGACGAAGGTCAGACACATTGACGGTGACAAGCTCAACAACCGTAAGGAGAACCTCGAGTGGTTCTAAGAGTAAAAAAATATTTTAGGGGGAAACCCCAAGTAAATTTAAGTGTTTAGTTGGATAAGTAGGCACTATTAATGGTAATTTGGAAAATTAGCTCCCGACCTTTGAATTGGGCTCTTTCGTTATCTTCCCAGTTGCGTAGGAGGTCGTCCCAGAGGAGTTGGTAGAATTGCCAATTCAAGGACGATTTGTCCTCCCAGGCATTGAGGATGTACTGCTCGTAGAGTCTCATGACCTCTGCCTTGCACCAGACACCCTCTCCCTTGGAACGTAAGGCTTCTTCGAAGTGCTCGAATGCGATTGGCTGCTTGACCATCCGAAATGACACTTTTTGTCCGTTTGGTCAATGTTCGTGTCTCGTGCCATAGTCGACGAAAATACAGACAAACAGGTTATATATGAGTTTGAGACCAAGAATGGTGTAACTCGACCTGTCCGATTCAAAGACTCCGAGGGCGACCATGAAATTAAACGGAAATTAGCTAGGAAGGAATATAAAATGGACTGGTTGCCACCACCTCCACCACCTTTACCTGTTCCTCAAGTAAATAAGCCTTTCCCGTTCCCAAGAATTCCCACATTTAAATTCAAATTCGAATAAAAATTTTTTATTTCATGCAATGTTTAACTATTTCACCATCTTCTTTAACACCCCAGTACTTACGCTTGGAGAGGACATGAACTTCGGTGAAAATTTTGTCCAATTTGAATTGACCCATCTTTTCACCGACCATTCCCATTTCAATGAGTTTGTTATAGCCTTCTTCGTTCGTCATGAGTGCGTCAATGTTCTCATAGTAAACCTTGACTTTGGATTTGACTTCGGAGAAGAACTCATTGTAGTTGTCAAGGACTGCCTTTGCGAACTGAGGGTAAGACCAATGTTCGACAATAGGTTTTAATGTGGTTACTAAGCCACTTTGACCTTGAGTGAATTCGTACTTCAAAACAAAAGGAGAAAACCCTTCAACAAAGTTGTCGACCTTCTCATAATGTTTACTCTTCATCTCTTGAGGTTTCTTAATGGAATATCCCCATGTCGAATTCATAAGCAATTTGAGTGTCATTGCAAGTTTGGGGTTTGAAGCTTTCCTAATATCATACAGTTGTTGTATGACTTTTCCAACTGTATAGTTCCTTCCCGGGAACTCACCATCTTCGTTTGGAATTCCAGTCGGAATATATTGGACAAACCTCATGTATGCAGCGTTAAGGTCGACATAGTATATCTTTTCATCTGAGTCGAACTTGTTGCAACCAATTGGTCCAGTTTGTGGAAATTCAAGTGAGTCTCTTATCTTCTGAGAAACTTCTCCTGTTATCTCATAAACATCGTCGAAGCAACCTGTTTCATATAAAACCTTCTGACCTAACTCAGATGCTCTCCAATATAATTTGACGTCAATTGGATGTCTCAATGGAAGTTTGTTTATAGCATCTTGAAGTTCTTGCAACCTCATTGGAAGTTCTTCTGGTTCAGGTTGGTATCGAACATACCAACCCCTTGTGGAACCGTGTACTTCTTTTGTACTAGAACTTTGTCTGGAACAACTTTTGGTCTTGCTAACAATGAAAAGTTTGTTTCGTCTTTTGGTACAAAAGTTTCTGTCAGCTTGTCATCTGGAATTGGTTCCAACAAACCTTTCTTGAAAAGAATGTTGACAGCTCTGACAATGTTGCACTTACTTTTACCAAAGAATGGGTTTGTAAGACTTTCGTTCAACATGAAGTGGTTGTGGACAATTACAATCTTCAACCATGGTAAGTCTTTGTCAACAACATAGTCGTCATGTGAAGAACCTTTAGCTGTAGGTATGTTGACTCGGATATTGACATTTGCCAACGGTGCAATTTTTGCCAATTGACCTCTGAGAATGTACCTTGTCTTCACACATGACTCAAGATACTTCATCTTCTCATCTGTAACAAGACCAGAGTTCCTGAGACATGTAAGAATGCAAGGTTCATTGACAATTGTTTCAATTGAATTGTAAATTCCATACCTTGTCAAGTCAATGTCAGACTTATTTATGAAGGGGAAGTATCCAGCATGTTGTCTGACTGCTTGAGGGTTAGGTTGGTACCATTCGAACTTGACACTTGCAATTCCTTCAATTGCATTCAAAATGTCTGAGTCGGAGTCAACCATTTGTTCTCTCTTTGTAGTCTTGAAAGCGTCAAGAAGTTTTGCGGCTGTTTGTTCATTGCCATGTGCATAGTAAATGTGACCATCCAAATCTGTTATGGTCAATCTGAGATTGTGTCCTTTCTTATTTCCGTCTTGAATTGCAGCAAGTACTCCATGAAGCCTTCTTTGTTCTTTCCTTCGTCAAAGTTTACTGTAAAGGTTCGACCAGATGTAATTTGACTTCTAACTTCACGATACTTTTCATATGCATATCTTGTTCTTTCCATGGGAGCATGTGCGTCTTCACCTTTTCCTTTTTTCCTTCTCAAAGGATGCAATTGTTCGTCATGTTTCCAGTAGAATCTGGCAAAGCCGTCGTGTCCTTCAACTTGAGGTTCACTAACATCGAAAGGCATGTCCATAAGACGTTCTTCTTCTAACCTCTCTAGTCTGTTTGGATAATTGGCACGTGCTGTTTCCAAATCCATTTCGTAGCGAAGACCAGACAATTTGTCATAGACTTTTATGGGTCTTCCCTTCCTATATTTAAAATTCTTCGAAACTCTCCAACCATATCTTTGTAACTCTGCTTTTATTCTAGCAGACTTTCTATCCATTCTATATGGGGCATTTTTATAAAAATAAAAAATATTTTTTCTTTACTTTACATAACCGCCTGCTGCCATAAGTCTTTGACGCCAACCCATACCAGCTAATGAAGGTTGACTTGGTTTAGTTTGGAAACTAAACTTTGGTTTTGGTTTATCTTCAGTTTTTGGTTTCTCTTCTTCTATCGGTTTTTCGTCACTTTTCGGTTCCTCTGACTTTACTTCACTTGCAGGAACAGTTGTGTCGTCAACATCTTCATAAATATCATATGCCATTTGTTTTTGTTTTCCTTTCAACTTTTTGTGTTTGTTGTAAAGTTTAGAATATTTCGACTCTAAGTCAATGAGATGTTCTATAATGAACTGTTGGTCAGTGAAGTAAACTTTTCCATCTGTTGTCTCCAAAGCTGTAATGCATGAAAAATAGCGTGACTTCATTTTTGACAGTTTACAAATGTAAAGTGTTGCATCCTTAAAAACTTGGAAATATATACATTCATGAATTATCTTGTATATTAATTGAAAATCCATAAAACCCTAACAATATTTTTTCTTAAAAAAACTATAAAAATATAAATAAAATTAATCGTTAAATAAAAATATTTGATATTAGAATTTTATTGGAAAAATAAAAAACTTAATATTTTAAAGAAATACTTAAATACTTGAATGTTTTAACTTTTACATTATCATATAGACTCTCAAATTATTGATTGGAAACGGTTTGAGGGTTATCAATTTAAAAAAAATTGTGAGTTTTTTAAATTTTTGGCAATGAGTTTTAAAAATTTGTGAGTGAGAATGTGTGTTGATGCTTGGCACTTTGAAGGGAAGATGTTCTGGGTTCACAATTATTAATGGGATAAATAAAATGATTATAAATATAATATATTAGAAAATAATTTGCAAAATCTCTCCATTTTTATAAATTTAATAATAGAAGTTGATCTATATAGAAAGAGCATTTTATCTATTAAGTTTTTGGCTTTTGCCTTCAAATCATTAATATAATTTTTTCAAAAAAAATTGTTTTATTTAAAATAAACAAATTTTATCAAATAACTAGTATTTTTAAATTATCTTTTGAAAAATTGAAAAATTTACAAATTAAAAAATGGAAGACATCTTGGTTCGTCTCGAAAACCCAGAAGATCTTAAAACTTTTCAACTCCCAACCGTTCCCGCCGATCAGGTTCTCAACGTAATTGAAGAAAAATATCAAGAATACATTAATAATCCAAATGTAACTCTCGAAGATACGGCAAAAACACTTTCAATAGGAAAAGAACGTTTGAAAAAAATTTTCGTACTACTCGGCTATCCAATAAAAGAAAGAGGAAGACCAAAGAAAAAAATTTTTGAGGAAGATGTATACAAAATTTTGGAAATTAAAGCACAATATGACATTGGATACAAAAGGATCAAAGAATCATATTTCGAAAAAGTCGAAAGATTTACATTCAACGATGCTTTCAAAATTTTCAATCAACAACATTTGTTTACATTTCACAGGCATCAGAAAATCGACGAACATCCACATGAATACGTTGCTCAATATGTTAATCAATTGTGGCATACTGATTTGAAATTTCTGAAGGACGATAACGGTAACCTTCAATATTTAATTTCATTTCTTGATGACAGAAGCAGATACATTATTTGCTGGGATGTTTTCGATACAAAAGAAATGAAAAATACTGCCAGAGTATTTCGTCACGCAATTGATTTAGTCAAATTAGTTCCACATGGAATTCTCACAGATAATGGAACAGAATTCATTGGAAAAGATTTTGAAGCGGTTTGCCAAGAATTCAATATAAAACATTTCAAAACTCATCCGTACTCTCCAGAGGAAAATGGAAAAATTGAAAGGAGTTGGGAGACTCTTTTCAAGACAAACCCTGGAGTGAACGTCTTTGAGTTCATCCCCAATGTTGTTTCCCAGTATAATAGGGTATGGAAACACTCCGCATTATTCAAACTCTTTGGGGAGAAATTGACTCCATTTGAGGCCTGGGAAAGAGGCCCCAAATGGACAAAAGATCTCTGCGCTGAACCAGGCTTCGAAAAAAATCTTAGAGATTAACAAATAATTTCAAAAACAAGAAAATTCAAAAAATCACAAAAAGGAAGTTAAGGAATAAACACTTACATTTATTACATTTGGATTTTTTAAAAAATTCAGTATTATTTTTAGAAATAAGATAATATAGTTCTAAATAAAACAAAGAATGTTAAGAATGAAGAAGGAATTAGCGGATGCAGCCGAAGCACACTCACAAATTACTCTCAATATCCACTCAAATCATACAAAGTTTTGTCGAATAGTTTGATATAAAGACAAAAAATTTACAATTTTTAATTAAATCCGAACAATCTTACATATGCAGCTGAAGCACACTCACAAATTACTCTCAATATCCACTCAAATCATACAAAGTTTTATATTTTCATTTTATTGTTTCTTAATAAAGAATTTACTTTAATATTCTTAATTGTTTTCTTTTTTATATTTAATTTTTGATATCTATTTTAAAAAACTTATACAAATTCGAGTCAGCTAATAATTGAATTGAAAAAATAAAAAGAAAACATATAATTTTTAATCCGTCTAATTGAATAAGCAATATTATAAATATTATGTTAAACGGTTAATTTTTTCTCAAAAAAAATTATTTCGAATTTCCGAAATTTTTGACATTTTGGCTGAGAACTATGGTCTGCGAGGTACATAGATAGAATCAGTACCTCGCAGACTATAGTTCTCTATATGGCGCCGAAAATTTTTTGGTGAAATGTCGTCGCATTTCACCAAAAATTTTTCGGCGCCATAGGAAGAATTGGAGGGTGTGAGATACTATTACATGCTATAGTACTCACACCCTCCAACTCCCAATCAAAATCGCATAAAATTTGCTACTTATCTTCAGATTACCTCCCATTATAAAATATATCATTGCTATCTCATCGTACTATATTTCCACCCTATTGTATTTAAAAATATAAAATTTTTTGATAATATATTTTTATATCTTGAATTTTCAAGCAAAATATTCACAGATAATATAATGGGAAATCTATCTCAACCTAGCCTTAAAGTACCAAACTCCTGCTTGCATTCTCACTCACAAATATTAAACATCCATCTCCAAAAAACTAAATTCTTCACAATTTTTTAAAATTGAGAACATAAAAAATGTATGCATTCAATAATTTAAGATACTAACAAATATTAAAAACTTCAAAATATCAGATATTAACGTTTTTCAATTAAAAAAATATCATTTTGCTTTTCAATTCGAACATAAATCTTAAATATTTTTAATTAATATCTGATTTACAGCATTATTATCCATTTATAAATCTGACAAATAAATGACAAAACCATCAGAAATAGTGTCACTTTTTGTCAAAAGTGAAGTCACGCTATTTTTCATGCACAACACTCCATGGGCAAGCTTGTCGCAATTCAATGGGTTCCAAATCCAGGCAAGAAGACGAAGGTCAGACACATTGACGGTGACAAGCTCAACAACCGTAAGGAGAACCTCGAGTGGTTCTAAGAGTAAAAAAATATTTTAGGGGGAAACCCCAAGTAAATTTAAGTGTT